CTTCTTTTTTTCCTTTAAATCATGAGAGATTAACATAGTTACATAACATATTCAGCAGTTCTTGCCATTCTCAGATGCAGCTTGGCATTTGCTTTGTCCAGGGGTTTACAATAAGGAAATCTTCAGGAGCGATGACAAAATATTACTGCTCTTCACGTTCATTCATTTCCACCTACTCTGTGTGTAGGACTGTCAATCAGATGAGGAAAGTGATCTGAATAAAAATATTTAAAATATTTTTAAGTCAAAACAGGTTCTTGGACCAGTTTGCACCATGGACATAAAAACTACTGTTGCGTTACAACCGTGGGGTAGGTGCCCTGTGATACAGAAGCAGGATTCAAGCAATAGATGGGCTTCTTAAATTAACAGTGCTGCCAAAAATGCACCATAAACTATAGCAAGTGTTCAACCTGAAGAACTTTGTTCATGTTTCCCCCAAGTAAGTGATTAGATGTAACAAAAGATACTACCTCTTCCTGAAATCTTGCCTTGATAACAGTTACCCGTGACAGTTAAAATACAGTGGGGAAGATAAGAAATAGCCATGGCTCACCACAAATGCCATACTACTTTGTCCTTGTATAACTTGCAGAAGAGACAACTCGACACCACAGTTATTTACCCTTAACTGGATATAAACAGCAGTGACTTAGAAATTAGTTTGTCTGCAATGAAAATTTAAAAACCAGACCAGTGCACACATCAACAAACAGATCGCTGATTAAGTGCATGGTGATTTTTGTCTCAGAAAGGAAACTGTTCATCTTACTCAGCCAGGACTAGTCTATCAATGAGAGAGATGCTACAGTCATCATTCAGAACTATGTGTTATATTTCAAGAGCTGCACAAACAATACTTCTTGCCAGTTCACTTCTAGTACAACTGCACTAAGACTGCACTCTGCACCCCTAGTGGGAACAGCTTATCCAAATTATTTTCTTTTTTCTCCTTTGGACATAAATTCTTACTGAGAAAATAAATATACAGTTCTATAAAAGCATATATCAAAATTCCTATGGAATAAGACAAATACTTTTAAGAACCACAAAAGTGTATCCTTGTGCCAAAGTGCACTGGCCAGATGAAATTGCATCTCAATCTATTTCAGTAATAGTTTAACTGACAAAAACTAGAGAGAGATTTGTGATTCCACAGAAAAGTGCTGACCAATTTCCTAATTTAAGATATGTTTGAAGTCATTATGGAAAACACAACTAGCATTTAAAATCAAGGCTGCATATCATGCTAAGATCTTTAAATAAGAAAATAAAATAACAGATTCCAAAAATATCACTGTCCACTGATGTCATTTGCCAGCTGAATGAAATCTCATTGAATGCAAGTAACACTACATCAATAAAGAGGCCATCAATAAATAATATGACTTACAGAAGAGATAACACTTGCACTGTTTATTCAATGCCAACAAGAGACAAAGATTTTGTTTGTTTCACAAAGGGCTATTTTTCAATTCTCTCCTATGAGAAAATCTTAAATCTAAACAAAAAAGTGCTATTATTTAATAACCATATTTGTAGGCATTTTAATATCTAGGAGGAAAAATATCCATGCCTTTACAAAATTCTGTCAAAGAAAGTCAAACTTATCTTCATTGATTTCAAATCAAATGGGTCATGCAGTTCACAAAATGGTGCTTAGAGAAGTTTTCAACTAACTTATTGAATATTTCAAAGTTTATTTCTTAAAGAAAGGTTTCTTCTTATTCTCGTCTTAGAATGTCATCAACGGGTAAGAGCACATACTGGTGCTCCTTCGTACACTGAAAAGTTCTAGGTTTACCAAAGGTATGTGGAAGCACTTGGGGATCAAAAGTAATAAAAGAAGTTATCAAAATGATTTTTAGAAGAAAAGCATGAGAAAAAAATTGACAAGCAGTCAGATAACAATTCATCACAGTCAGAGCTGGGTTTTTTATGTTGCTCTATGGCTGCCACGGCCTTTCCATATAATCATCTCATGTTAAAGTAGCACTTTACATAGACATTACCAAAATTGCTCTATCATCTAAATTCCCTACTTCAGGATCTCAATTCCAGACATAATAAAGAAATTCATTCCAGTATACCTGTTGCGTTAAACTGAGAGATGATTCTACAAAGATGATGAAACTTTTTGGCAAAGCTTTTAGTGATTTACAGTACCTTCCCTGACCACATTACTCACTGTGTGAGGAGAGCTTTGGTAACAAAAAACAAACCAAAAAAGCTCTCATATTGCACCGTGAACAAAGTCATATTCCCGTATTTGTAAATTGTGCAAGATTTTAAAACTTTCCTTAATTATATAGTAGCATACTACTATAAATTTTAAAGAAAAAATAAATCTGAGCAAAATTAACTTACAATATATTTCCAGATTTTTTGAGGCTGAAAGGCTATCTTTGGAACTTCCATTTGCTAACAAGTCCAGGAAGTGCAAATAACCTCAAAGAAAATTACACAGCAGCTTTTCACATGATACTATACTATACTATTTCCTTACTCCATTACCAAAAAAGAACAGAAAAATCATCAAAAGGTCAAATGTTTAAAATTATTTTAAAAGCCACCTATGCAACTACAGTGATACATGCCATAATCTGTTCTTTGTAATTGCTGGCTCAGAAAAACCCTCAATACACAGCCTGAAGCTGTTTGAGCACTTTCAAATGAAATGGTGGAGATTAAAGTTAAAAACTGAGAAGTCAGCCCGAGTAAAAAATCTGCAGCATGTTTTCAATGCCTCAAGATGCAACGGACCAATGAATTTCTTCTTCAACAAGAAAGAATAGGTGGTGTGAAAACTCACAAAGTGAAACCTTCCAGAACGCTGAAAGCTTGGCTCAATAGCCAGAATTACCTTTTGTAGATACTGTTCCAAATGTTTCAGCAATTCAGCTTCTCCAAAGAGCTGCATAATTTTTCAGGAATTTAAAAAACACTAAACTTAACCTTTCTGACATGTTAAATCTCATTAATATCTAATATTCAGAAACAAACTCTCAGCTCTAATCTACTGGGTGTACTTATTCAAAGTGATTCACATCTTGAGTTCACATGATCATATATGCCCTTCCATGTCAGAAAAGGTTTCCCAGCCTCACATACCAAATGCTCACAGATCAATTTGTTAGGCATAAAAATACAACAGTCCACCCAGCACATAAGAGGTTACATCTGTGAGCTTTAGGAAAAGGTAGAAGAGTATTTTTAAGCTCATTAAAAGGCAAAATGCGGGTTTCTACGGAACTTTAAAAGCTGAGGAATTCCTAGTTAATTTATGTAGAAAAATTACAACTCCTAGAAAACTTTCTGGTACAGGCTTCTACAAGGAGAGCCTTAGAGAGCTGGAAAGGAATTTTTCTTTTTAAACTGTTTGGTGTGACTCCAACATTCCTGTAAGAATGAGTGTTTCTGCAGAACAATAAGGGATTAACAGATTGTGATCAAAGTTTCAGTCCATCAGAAGTCTGTTACTCCAGCAGAGGAGCTAGTCTTGGGTCTAGTCTCTGCAGGATAAAGTCCACCACTAAAATTCCTCTTAAACAGAGTACAAAATTATCAAAGGCTAAAACTGCAAAGAAAGTTGAAGTCATGTTCTCTCTAACTAGGTATGTTTACTAGTTCATTACTAATGATGCTTTCAAAATTGAAGATTTTACCTCTGTCCTTAATTAAGATATTCTTTTGATAGGTACGGAACTGAGGAAAGGAGTCAGAAAAACCCAGCCAAAGGTATGCAGTAGGGAGAGAATTAGTTTCACATGGCCCTGTGAGAAAAGGATAACCAAGTATGGATGTTTTAGACCTGTATTAATCTCTTTGATGCATGACCTGCATTTTTAGTCATTTCAAGTTAATCAGTTAATACGAGTATCCAATTTCAGAGTATTTTGGGCAAAAGATATAGAGAATTGTTTTACTTTTTATAAAAATGTTCATTTAATATTTAACAGTAGATATGGGTATTAGATATTAAATTTCATTACTTTTGTCTGGAAAATCATTTGTATTTAAATTTAGGATGAAACCCTAATCTTTCTTTTTTTCTTCTCTAATGAATTTTACATTAGTCTTAAAAGTGAATCTTCAATTAAGAACTTCTTCTAACATGGTCGTATCAACAGAACTAGTATCTTCCATCATCTGTTTCCACATTGCAGTATTAAATAAGCTAGACGGTAAAGCTACAAAAATTAAACACATTTTGGAAATCAGAAAACTCTAAGAAAGCACAGAAACAGCTACAGATTTCAGTATGTCCTCATTTTAAAGCTCAAATGACAAAACAGCAACACCTCTAATTATGTACTGTCGCCTATACAATACCTCAAAATATTGTCCATGATGCTTTCAACTTCATCACCACGAGTTATAACCTTAAAGAACTTTTTTATTTATTAAATTCTTCATTTTAACATCAAAAGCATAAATGTGGTACCCTAGCTAGGAAGATTACTTTTAACTATCTAAATTGCTTTAAATATGCTTTGAAGTTTATGTCAGTGCGGGCGGCACGGAGCTGCACGGAGTCCCCAGGCAGCTGCAAAGGAGGAACTTTATTTACACAAACCCGGCCTTTTTATGCCCTTGGTCGACCATTAGCTTACATACTTTTTAGGCACAACAAGCCCACTTTAACCAACCACCCAACAGCCCGGTGCAAACACCCAGCATGCCTCAGCTCCTCTGTTGTAGCTGAGTCCCTCTCCAGAGCCCTTCTCCGCTTAGCCTGAGTCACAGGCCGGAGCCGTGCTGTTACCAGGCCTGCCCTGACAGAGCTGCACCTACCGGCTATGGAAGTTGAATGATCAAATCTGTATTTTAATCACAGAAGCCTGAAAATGAAATCTTTCCTTTTTTACTTTTTAAAGCAAAAATCAGACTTTTCTTTTATACCAATAGGGAAAAAAAATAACCAAGCAAAGAAGTATTTACAACCTCAAAAGTTACATTACAGTTGTGATTCTGTAAAATTTGTGCAGTACAAACTTTACCTCAATCAATTTCCTCTCGTAAGAGCTCGCCAGTTCCTCATTGTTTTCTACTTGCTTTTGCTCTGGAATAGTAAATTCACCATCAGTGCTCCAAATGTTTGGCAGAACTGAAACAAAGAGATACTTTAAATGAAAACGTTAACCTACATAAACATCTAAAGAAACCTGTTTAGAAGTAATAGCTCTAAAAGAAAGCTATTCAAAGTATCAAAACAGAATGTAATTAATATTAAACAGTACTACAAATACTAAAATGAAAATTCTGCAGGAAGCTTTCTTGTGAGCAATGCTCAGACAGGTACTCTCAACAGAAAAAAAAGTAAACTAAAAGGATTTTCTGTTCTGTGACTACAGCTATCTAACATATAAGTAACTTCAATTCCTACCCAAAGCCTCTGAAAACTAAGTCTATGCTTCTCTTTTAAGTCTTTTTTCTACTTCTCTTTCAAAATATCATTCCATATTGCTTGCACAGACTACTCACATATCATAGAAATTACAGAAAACAGGGCTGAGAATGGACATTTCAGACCATTCTAGTATTTCATGGTTTTGCATAGAGCAGAATCAGCTGTAGTTATTTCATTCCTGACAGTTAATTCTCCAATTTATTCCTAGAAACCTCAGATAATGGAGATGTTACGCTTCCCTGCACAATCTATTTAAATTCAAAAATTCTTCTCAGAAAGGTTTTCTTGATAGCTAATCAAACTTCCTTCACCTGTCATTTAAATCCATGACTTCTTTTCTTATCTACAGTGAATGAAAACTAGTTTATTCTATTCTTGCTCCTAGCTATCATTTATGTATTTGATGATCACTTTTAGGCCTATTCTAAGTCTCCTCTTCTCCAAGTTACACTAGTTCAGCTTTTCCTCACAGATCATGAATTACTAAAACAAAAACAAAAAAAAACAACTCACCCACCCAACAGGTTAGAACACAAAGTAAACAAACTCTAATAAATGAGAGGTTTAACGACTGCTTTCACCTTTTTTCAAAATCTGAACTATATATATAGCCACTATAAGGTAGATATAACCACCTTATCGCAGCTGTATATACAGTTTAGAGATAAAAGACACCACAATTCATCTGATTAAATACTCAAACCTGGAAACTGATTTTTGCTTTGAGGAAGAATATATACATTCAGAAGATTATTATTATTTTCAGTGGATTTTGAAAGCTATTTTAAGGGCTATTTCTTGTAAATCTTGCTTGCATTCTTCAACCAGAAACTTAAGCACTTTCATATGCAAATATGTAGGTTTGAAAAACAGTACACACACAACTCCTGCAATAGCTGAGAAATCAGGACGCCCATTTATTAAATTTTAATTTAATTTAAATTTTAAGAATAAATTTATTTAAATACCAATATCAAACTGCTCGGTCTATCATCGTGATCACTCATTTTGAAAGCTGGTATGATATTGCTGACTGCTGTTTTGGGTTTGTTAAGTTATTGCAAGGCGAAGCATTATGCTGAGTCTCAGTTACTATCTTAGGAAGCTATTAAAAAGCCATACTTAATAGCATCCGATCTGATTATTATAGAAAGCATAAATTCTTCTCTACTTATATTCATAAAAATAACAGCAGAAGACAAATTTATTTTGACTCTTTCAAAATAGTTTCACAGAAAGTCTGAATACACGGAGTTCTAAAATCTACAGTACATTTAAGAGCTTTGATGCTATTTAGAAGAAAACTAACACCCGTTGAAATTTCTCCTTATGATAACATAGGAAGGCAGTGAAATCAGTTGTATGCAACAGTTTATGCCTATCTGATGAAGATGATTTCCTAACATTACAGCAAAGAGAATGGCTGGGACTTCTCTAAGTTTAAACAGATCAGAACTCCATGTCACTGTCATAGAAACAGTGGTTTCTTCATCCTATTTTCTTAAAAGAAAGGTCACAATCTCTGAATGCAGTAATAAAACAGGTCTTGTAAATATACTCTGTAATCTCTTTAAGCATGTAAGGTAATTAAGAACAAAATTAATAAGACAAGTTGTTATTGTCATTTGAAGTTCCACCACAACTGGAATTCAACAATTTGCCTTGTTTCATAATGATACATATACTGAAAAGTACAAATTGCTCTTTCTAATAATGCAAATATTCTTAGTTATAAAGGCTCACACCTGAAAACTAAGAATGCCTATGATGGCATACTGCAAGTTAAGTAACCATGGCTGCCATGGTTTCATTTAAATCTGGTGAATGAAAACATTTATTTTTTGTTTCACTCTCCTATTTTGAAGTGTATCTAAACTTTAGTTCTCAGGTGTTATTTACATGCTTAAGTACTTTGAGTCAGAGGTCCCAGAACTACTAAAAATTTCACATAAATCTCCAATGGCAGCAAAGGAAAAAAACACACTTGGTTTTATAAAAATACTACATGTAAAGTTAGAATATAAGAAAAACTATTACAAATAGTGCATGTAGCTGAAATTTATTCTAGTCACTAATGACAAATACTACAGAAAATTACTGTGGATTGATTAAATATCCTTTGAGCATAATGCATACATGTATTCATTTTTAGAAATACTGGTACTGTTCCATCCCCCTTTTTCATCTATAAAATCTGACTATCCTACTCAGTTTCCATTCTTATCACTCACTAATTTACATAATTTTAGCATGGCATAATATAGCTAGCCTAGGAATATTTTTTTTTCTTTTCCTATAATTACACTAATCATGGAAACTGTCAGTATCTAATGAAGCATAATTTCTGCTATTATAAGAAGCTTAAGAGATGTTTTTTGTGAATAATTCTTAATATGAATCACTACACTCTAGCAAAGTCAGAAGTAAGACCGTGTTCTCACTCACAAAAATCCTTTTAAGGATGAATGAAGTTTTTAAACTACAGAAAAGTATAATAACTAGACCTTAAGAACAACATTAATGTAGTATTCATTCATATAGTCACTTATATAACCACAACATTGACAATAAGAGTAACAAAAAAAAAAGAAGGTGCCAAATTCTGAAAAGCCACCTCATCTCTCAAAACACTTTCTATAGTCAGCAGAAATAGAGGTCCCACAACAAAATTATTCCAAATCAAGACTCCAATTCATCCTGTCATGGACATTTTATCACCACTGGCCACTGAAGAAAAACAGGTAACATTGCTGATAACATAACTTGTTGTCTTTCAAATACAAAATCCAGTCATTACAGTCAGAGCAACTTAGCAAAGAAAGTGGCATGTCTGGTCTTCATATTCTAGGGTCTGTTTCAAACAGTTTGCAAAGACTGATCTCTGAAACAATACGAACAGTATAATCTAGAGATACAAGTTTTCTCTCCTCAAAATAATATTTTTACTATCCAGTATCATAACAACTTACAGACTACTTTTTTAAATTAATTTTTTATCTGATAAAACTTTTTCTGCAAAGTTTCCTAGTGGAGAAAACTAAGACCACTTCCTCTACCAGAAAATGCTCTGTAAAATTGATTACAAAAATCTACATCATTATTTTTCTCAAAAAGAAAAGATATCAAATATGTTATTTTCATTTTTCAGAGACATTATTCTATCATGGTTAGAAAAGATGAAAAGCATTTATAATTATCTCTTGCTAACTGCACCTTCATGTAAACAATTTCATTTGTTTTGGCTAAGACTCAGCAAGGAAAGCAAAGATCTCTTGATTGTCTTTCCTCAGCAATAAGTATGCCATCACATAACATTCCTTTTTTTTAAGTATTAATCTGCATTGCAAAACTGTTCACACAACAGCAAACAGCCCAGTTTCTCACAGAAATTCTCACAGAAAATAAAACCTGACATTTTTTCAGGTGCTGATATTTTTCAACAGGCTGAGAACTGATGTCATACTGGCTAGCACTGGAAGTGTGAACCATGTCCCCAGCCAGAGAGATTGGTTTTGGTGACTGAAGTGTTGTTTATGGACCATGGTTTGCACAGGATTGGGTGGCTGATTATCTACCGAAATCCATTCCTGGATCAACTAGACAAAAAAAACAAAAGCAGATTCTTCTCAACTAGAGACATGTCTATTCACTGGTTATTCCTTCACTGTCAGTTTTTATTCAAGCCAAGGAGTCACTTCCGTCACTTGGTTACTGCACCTATTTCTCCAATGAAGTCTGTCTCAATGGTATCATACAGAAAAACAAACCTTGTGCGTGGATTTTAGTTTTATCTCCCCCCATTCCCCCACACCCTTCATTTTATCCTTACCTTCCACTGTTTGACCTTCTCTTCTGAGCATCTGAACAGCTCCCACATACTTCTTAAGTTGCACTTTTAGCACCTCATTTTCTCTGTTGATAAAAAGAACAAAATAAATGAAAATTATTTTCTCATAACAGAAACAAATGTACTATCTTAATAATACGCTTTATCTAAGTTGTGTTATCACTTACACAATAAATAATACATTAGCAGCAGAGTACCAGAAAAACTAGTTTTCTGAGGCCACATAAACAGATGAAGTACATAAAAGTACAAGTATTTAAACCACATATTATCATAGTTCCACCTAACATTAAACACCTTACTTGATATTTGGGGGGAAATAGAATCCTCACCAATTGAATCTTAAGCAAAGTTGACAAGCACAAGAAAACCATGAACATGTTGGAGCACATGCAGAAGGGGGCTACAAAACCGATTAGAGGGCTGGAACCTCTGCTGTGAAGAACGGCGAGAGCACTGGCGTTGTTCAGCATGGAGAAGAGAAGGCTCCAGGGAGACCCTGTTGTGGCTTTGCAGTCCTGAAAGGGGGCCTATAAGAAAGATGGGCCTGTTGTGGTTGGACGAGGTGTGATGGTTTTAAACTAAAAGAGGGGAGTTTTAGATTAGATCTAAGGGAGAAATCTTTTACAATGATGAAACACTAGTATGGCTTTCCCAGAGATGTAGAAGCCTCATCCCTGGAAATGAGTCAGTGTGGATGTGACCCTGAGCAACCTGATCTAGTTAAAGATGTCCCTGCTAACTGCAGGGAGGCTGGACTAGATGACCTGTAAAGGTTCCCTTCCAATCCAAAACATTCTATGATTCTGTCAAATCACATTTCTGAAAATTCAGTTATCTGTCTAAGCCCATTCAGTTAACCAGGTATGACAGAAGTGTTCATACGAAAGAAACATAAGTAAAACATGTTGCAAGAGAATGAATACAGACAACTTTTACTTTTCTTTAAGAAAATATCCAAGAGAGATACATAGGTGCCACAGCTGCAGCACATAACCTCACACACAAGAAACTTGCAACTGGTTAGAGGGAAGAGAGGAGCTGGGGAGCTCAAAACCATGCCAGAGGGACGGTACAAGCTCTAGCAATGATGGAACCCTGCACAGGTAACACATTAGAGAAAGCTGTGAACAGATTATATATAAAAAGGTAGATATTTTATTTATGAGAATTTATTTAAGAATGAGAAATATTCAGAAACATATGTAAATATGTTTGATGGTCCTTATGTTATACATACACACTATATATATATAAAAAAAAATATAAACTCACAAAAGTAAGTTGCTTTTGAAAGCAATGCCAAAATACAAATATATTTATATAAATAATTCATTCATTTAAAAAAAAAGTATGACAGCCAAAAATATTTCTCACAAGAACTATAAATACGTCTGCATGGAAAGAACTATATAGAATTGCAATATATTGAGTTTGAAGGATTCTCATGAAATAATCATGCATCATCTCATTTTTACATTTGAGAATAGACTCAGTGCCTTTGGTCTGTACTGAGACAGCATAAAAAAATTTTTTTTACTATTGTGCATTTCAACTTAAAATTGATACTGAGCTTCAGAAAGACTTTAATTCCCTTAAGGTTTCAGATACAAGATTGAAATTTAAAGCCAGATACTAGAGCCCTGTCATAATTTTCTAATATGCCACTTTATCTTGTTCTTAGTCATCATTATTTGACTTTTTTCTCATTACTGCTATTTAGCTAGATGCCAAAGAGGTCCTGTATTGATACATTAATTTATATAGCTCTTTCTATCAGAGCATGTTTTTTCTCAAATGGCACAGGTCTATGCGCTGTTAAGCTTTATACCACTGGTGATTACTCATGCAGAATGACACAAGACAATTTACTTTGGTTGTTGGATTATAAAACCAGAAAACTGCACATTAAGGACTACATTGAAAAAAATACTAAGGTGTGAAATGCAATAAATCCAAGAAACAGAACTACATTAAATACAGCAGCTTATAAATGCCACACATCTGTAATATTAGGATAAATTCTATTCCAGCTGATGTTTTTTCTAGCAACTGTGGGAATTTTTCCATAGCTCTCTGACTATTCTCCAAAGAAAAGCAGATAAATATATTTCCAGGTTCAAATAAACACTTTGTTTATAAGCTAATGCAGGAAGGATCAAAGTTTTTTAGCAGAGTGTTTTTTATTCTATAGTGCTTTTATCCAATGAAGATGTAATTGAAGTCTGTAGTTACCTTTTTGATTTAGTATTTTCCCTGAAGATAAATGACAATGTTTGAAAAATATGGATATCTACTCTCAGCTATTAACAGTATCTTTGCTTAAAACTACAGGAAAAATACAGTACTAATTACAGTCATGAATCAGTACATCATAATAACTGTTAGCAAAGAGATGAGGAATGTAAGTAGCAAAACTTTAAATGGCAACAAGAATAACTTTTTTCAGTTTTCTAAAATGGAAGATACTACTTCATAAAATTCCTAAAATTCTAAGTATTTCTATTGTCAGACATACTCAAAAATTCACCAGAAACTACTATATGTGTTCACAAATTATATGAACAAACTTAAGGATCTTATCAAACTCCTGTACAGAAAAAGGAAAAACATTCAATAATTTTCTTTCAAGAGTACACATAAGGTCAGGGCTTGTTTATACAGCTGAATTGGCATTACTACTGTAAGGTATGCATTTTGCAAAAGCTATGAAATAAAACATAAATATGAAAGGATTTACTTTTCTATGGCAATATTTTGTGACATTGGTAATACTCATATAAAAACTAAATAATGGGTTACTGAAATTTTCTTTATATATTCATGAATGACACACAGCCACAGAACACAAACTTGCTTGTTATTTATTATCCTTTTTGGAAAACTATTTGGAATGACAAGGAACAATCAATTATATAATAAATGGAAGTTGTCAAAGACTTTCAATTCTCTGCCTAATTTTGAAGCAAAAATAATTACACTTCCTCTCAATTTTGTTATTTGAAAATTAGCATTTTAGGAAACCCCACCCATAAGAAAATTAAAACTACTGTAAGAATGATATTTTTTTTTTTAGCAGCATAAAACAAGTTTGCATTTTGGGAAATATACACCTGACTTCTAGCTATATATCAACAGGATGAATGGAACAGGATAACGAGCCATAAGTTTTCACGTCAAAAGGAGAACAGTGTGGAAGAGAGACACTATTCATATGGAACACAGCAGCTGACCAGCACCCCTGCTGGGACTTCTGCTGTGTTCTTGGTGAAGGTCCAAGGTCCCCTAGATGAAATCTAGCCCATCTTGCTTGTGCTATAACATCCCTTTAAAAATGACCATTACGGGGGAACAAGAGGAGTTGAAGGAGGTTGAAGCACTATAAAGGTACCAAACCACCAAACATGAAACAAATGGTATGAATCTTGAGAACGAGTTGAAATAAACAGTGTACCACAAGAATATGTACAATCTACACACAGAGATTAGGCTAAATGAGTTTCAGAGATGTCTTCCAACCTGAATTATCCTGTGATCCTACTATTAGAAGGTGCAAGATCACAACTAACTGTAAGCATATATACCCTAAATGAAATAAGAAAAATGAGAACTATTACTCACAGAAGTTGAACTATATACAGTATAATGAGATTATAGTATAAAACCAATATCTGAAAAAAACTGTAACAAGGAATAAGGTGATAAACTTAACTGCTTGTCATGAAAAACAAACACCATATGGATGATAAACTGAAAACTATTCCCATGATAGCTTCACAACATAGACCGTGTTCAAACCTAAGTTGTGAAAGGTCTCTCAGTACTTATATCACATCTTAAAAAGACAAAAAAATGGCTTGGGGATAAGAAATATGAGGAAGTTATTTATCTTAGGAAATAACGCATCTCACTATTTTTATAAAATGTTTTTGTAACTTATGATGTCACAAACAAAATAAAAAATCCTTGCATATAGGAATATTCAACTTAGTTTTCACAAGCAGGGACAAGAGATATTTTTTCCTGTCTTTAAGAAGCTGCTTAGGGTAAATGATGCACATTTCAAGACATACAACACATGATTTCACCCATCACTGGAGCGCTACAGCTCTGACTGAAAAAAGAACAATAAAAAATGCCAAATCCAAAAGCAATGTGGATAACACAGACATAGATAGCAGGAGGCAGACTGGGTTACAGAATGTATGGTAAAAAGAAGGTAAATAAAAGTATATGATAAAGTATCATGAAGTACTAAGCCCCAACTTCCCTACGCAGTGCATTACCATCTTCTCTTCCTATCTGTTTCTCTTGCTGCAAAGCCTGTCCTTTGTACAATGTTTTCCTTCAACGTTTCTGAATATAGGCTAAGAATATGCAATCTGAGATTATCCAATTTCACAGTCAACTTTAATAAATGCATCTGCCTCACAAAGGGATGTAATATTACTCCATACAGAAAAAAAGAACCTCAATTAAAAAATTTCATCATTGCCAAGAAGCCATTGGCACAATATGTCCGTGCAATTTGAGAAAGGCTCATTGATGATGAGGGAAAAAAAACAGCTTATAAAATTATACTACAGATTCTATTTAGTTTATTCTATCAGAAGGCTAGGAAATAGGTTGAAACTGCTGCTTTTGAAACAGTATTATAATTGTTATGAAAGAGCTATTCAAAGACTTCACAATAGATTATCACTACTTGAAACTAAAATGACCTCAGAATTTTTCCATCTTTGTAAGAGAATGTAGGGAAGTCAGGAAAATTTCTCTAAGCAAGCTAGCATTTTGTCTAGTAGACTCGTTGGAGAGTCTAGAAGACCACCTGAGTACATCAGTTTTGCAGATATCCAGCAGTAATAATTTCAAAACTGACATGTCACTGAAATTTGTGGTCTCGAAGCTCCCAAAAATGGGGAGATATTTACATCAAATTCTTTACAAGAGTTCTGGGGACAGAAATATTATCTCTCATGATCTGAGCTATATGTGTTCATCAAATTACAATAGTCAGATAGTAACTGAATTATTTTCCTTGCCTTAAGGTGTTCAGAATATTACAATTGAAGAAAATTTTCTACTCCAGTCATGAGATCAATTGTTTTCAGGGTAAACAGTGGGATTTCACTATTACAAAACATCTGAAACTTAATTTCCTCTCACTCACCTAGTGTATGAGGCACTTACAATGCATTTCCAGAATTTTTCTTATTTTTGTTATTTCAACTCTCCAAATTATTGACTAAACCCTTAGTTTAAAATATTATTTTTAAAAATTTACTACTCTTACTATTGCAGCAGCATCACCTACAGTGTACAAAATGAACCAACGAAGAATTCAGAAGAAAAACCTATATTCCAAAATAACTATATGTAGAGTTTCTTATGTGCTAGAAAAGGAGTTGCACTGAATCATTAAAAAAAATGCATCCAAAGTCCAAACTCTCCAGTGACACAAGAATTTGTTGCACCCAAGCAGCTCCCAAAGCTGTTTTTATCATGTGACAAAGTAAACCATCTTTCAGAAGAGCATTCAACACCACATATCCAGTCTCCACAGCAATAAAAGAAATTAAATAAACTTCCTTAACAGGTTAGTCTAAACGAGCATCTCTTTAGATCTTGTTATAAAAGCTCCTTATCTATCCTTTCAAAATGTGTGTGACAAATATCTGATTCACCCATATGTCAGTGTAAATTCTAAAACTGTGGGGGAAGTGAGTCAAAGAAATATGAATATACAATTCGTATAACCTGAAACATGAATATTAAATGATGAAGTATTTGCATTGTCTCAATTGCCCTACATCACATGAATGTCAAACCCACTTGTCCATATCCCTCCCCCCCCAGTGGGCAGTTCAGTTTGATGTGTCATCAAGAGCAGAATTAGTAATATTCTAAATATGTGGGGTTTTTTTAAAGACAGCTTTGTATAAATAATTTTCACATACTAGGTCTGCTAGGCAATAACAGGCTTATAGGAATCTTAGCTGTGGTACTTCATGATTGGCACCAAGCACTCTGTCTGCACATGAAGAAGACAAACACTTCTCTGTGTGATAAGGCACAGATTACTCATCTTAATCAACATTTGGGATAGGTTTGTTCATTACTATACATGTGAATCATCCCCAAGATCTTAGGCATCATGGATTACTCTAGAGCTTATTTAGAATTGCAAGAAGAAAAACCAACTATTCCAGCAGCATGTACCTTCAAAAGTCTATCTTAAGCTAAATCACATTTAGATACGTGGAGGGTTAAAATTATTTTCTTTCAGCATACCTGTGGCACAAAGCCAATATGGAGGCAAGTCACTACTAGGGCCAATGCTGTTTCAGACCATTAATGATCTGGATGTCGGGACAGAATGCACCCTCAGCAAGTTCACAGACAACACAAAACTTGCAGGAAAACTGATACACAGGACTGTTGTGCTGCTATTCAGAGGGACCTGGACAGGCTGGAGAAGTGATTTCAGATGAATCCCCTGAAGTTCAACAAGGGGAAATGCAAAATCCTTCATCTGGGGAGCAGCAGCTCTTGGCACTACTACATATTGTAGACTGGAAAGCAACTCTACAGAGAAGGATGTAGGAGTCCTGCTGGACAACATGCTGACTACAAGACTCCGTATCAGCACTGCAATGCAGCCTTTGTGGCAAAGGGCACCTTGCACCACATCAGGAAGAGCACTGCCAGTGGGTCACTGTCAACAACACTGCTCAGGGCAGCTGTGGAGACTGTCTGTGGAGATGTTCAAAACCTGACTGGAAACGGTCCTGAGCAACCTGTTCCAGCCGACCTGAGAGCTAGGGGGAAGCAGTTGAACCACCTCAGAAATTGGTTCTGCTGATACTGTTTGGCAATAAACGTTGCTTACGATACAGCGCTTGAAGAAGTGGTCAGCCATGAAAACCTGACAACAGGGCAAGAAAACAACACCAGCCCAAAGAAAACAAAGTTGTGCTCAATAATCAGATAGAAGGAAGACAGACCACATGGAAAAGTCAGCGAAGAGGATGTAGCATCCATTCTTTCCTGCTTACACAGAGGAGGCTACATACAGAAGGGTATCTGTGTCAGCAGCAGCTGACACTGATGTATTTCATGAAAGCAACAAATAAATTGAAAGCAATAAAGGCACAAATATTCCTATTTGATTTAACTAACACTAGGACCACTCAGCACAATTTCTACTAACTCAAGTAAGAACTTGCTGGGAGGAGAGAGCTCCTCATACTAATCTCAGTGTGGAGCTATGTAAGTCATCTACCAGAGGAAATAGTGTGGACTAATATTAAAATTAAATTGTCTCCAAAACATGTACTCACTGGCTCCAGACCTGAAAGCTAGAAACCCAACCATCTAGCTGGTATTTAAAGTAAATAAATAAGTAGGTAAGTTTACACATGCACCAAAGCACCCACTTCCACTAGTAGAATGAGCATTTCATTATTCTAGTATCAGCTTTGAGATCTATAAAATATTGTCTGCAGACAGTGCTAGGTAATTTAACAACACTAAGAATATCATATATCCTCATGATAAAACCAGGACTTTGATACTGTAATTTGCTCCAGACACACAGACACCATAAATTTAAAAAAAAAAAAAGTAGGGGAGGGGTTAGAACTATTTTGAATAGATACTTGAGGAGAGAAAAGTCTTCTTAAATTTACCTTACGCATACATCCTTTGTATCTAGTCTTATTTTCTTTGTATCTAGTCTTATTATCTGTCACTATTTTCATGGCTTCTGTTTCTTAAAACTAGTCCAATTACTTTTTTAAATTAAAATTAAAGTTGTCAAGTTCAGTGCACTAATATTCTTTCTTCTGCAGCTGTAACAGTGGTTTTACTAATATTTTAAACTCAGTAACTGTTAACACATAACAAAACAAAAACCATCAAACCCACTAAATTTGTCAGAAAATCGTTTGAATCCCACTTCAATTCAACTACAGTCCTTGGGATTTTTAGTCCTAAGTCACTTTATGTTTTTCTGAAAACTAAACTACTTGAAAATTATTTTTTCTTGTCTCCTTAATTTTTTATTCCCTTCCACTGCTGTTGGTGGTGGACAGTAACGGCTGTTACTTTTTGTGACACTTTCAGCACTTCTTACCTTGCCAAGGCTTGGACTTTCGTGGCATGTCGTTCTTCCTGTTCTGCCACTTTCCTTCTCCAGTTGTCCATTTCTTGTCTTAGTGCTGCAGAATGCTCCATCTCTCCATCAAGCAGAATTCTCAGAGATCTGGAAGAGGGCAGCAGTCTCTGTCAGAACACTGCAAACACTACCTAGTAATTAGAGGATATTCTACAAATCACAGAGCAGGTTGCCTGAATGATACCATTAACATCATCCTAAAATTTAATTATTGAACGCAATAAATTCACTTTATCTGATTACAAAAAGATACAAAAAGCTACAAGGAAAAAGGACCTGATCAAAGCAGCTGTGAGTGCTCACTATTAATTTTTTTTGTTACAATCTTATCAACGTGTCCAAAGCACAACCTATTATTGTACCTGCTGTACCACCATGTAGAAAAATTTATTAAAGAAAACGGCTTATAACCAGTCTGTTTTCCGTGCTTCAGTGCAAGACATTACATCTCAGGAATAATCATAAACAATATATTTACTAGCAAGAGCAGGAGACAGGGAGGGGTCTTGTCTGTTCTGAGAAAACTACCATAGACCTTTATGTAAAACCCTTGATGAGATAGCAAAGGTCAGCATAAAGCATAATGGTAAAACTCAAAGCATCCTGGTCCTGCAAAAACAAGCAAAGCTGAACAGGGCAATAACTTGCAAATATGGGAGTGGGTAGGACAAGAGGCAGGAAAATGGGAGCAGTCGGTGGTCTCAACACTGAAAAGAGAAACCAAATTAAAGGATCTATAGAAATATGCAAATTACTAAAATAGCCCCACTACAGCGTAACAACAGTATGTCCTGAACACATTTATATTTTCATTCATCTAATGATATGGCTCAATAGAGTAAATAAATACAAAGTAGGTTTGATAGTATTTTAAAAAAGAGAATTACCATTTTTACATTTTACATCATCATTTTGCCCCAGGTGAACATAAAGACACTCACAAATGACAGCCACTTTCAGTGGTTAACACTGTCAGCCATTCACCACCACTTCTGCACCAGAAGAGGAAAAAAGGAAATATTCTGAATATTTGTACAAGGACAAACTTTTTACTTATTTGGAAAGCTAGAGATCTTAAGAATCTTTTGGCTATAAGGTTTAGTTTTGAAAAAAATACAACTGGCAGAAGCTCTCAAGATACAAAGATTTATATGTGATTCAAATTCAGAGGAAAAAGTTGACCTGCAAATGTTACTCTTCAATATCAACAGTTGAAAGTTGAAGCATTAAGCTTACCTTTCACAGAAAAATATATGCATCAAAAGATTACACAAAATTTATGCATGGCTGTACACAAAGGACAGTTGGTATTAGAGAACAGAATGGAGTTTTTTAATTATAGTGCCTCTAAACTAGAAAAATAAAACTACCTATTCTGTTCTTCCAGTTCATCCTTTCTATTCATCATGGCCACAATAGCTTGACGGAGTTCATCTAAAAAGAAAGAACAAAAAAAGATTAATTTCTGTGTGTATTTCAGCTCATTTCAGAACTAAAAGTCATGTACATAGTGGTCCTAATTCAGCAACACCCTGAAAATTACAGCAGCCTCATTTACTGTTCAGCAAAACACAACAAAATGCTCTTAATCTCATCGCTAATTTGAGCAATCTTTCAAAAATGGTATTGTCTAACACAGCAGCAGCACCATTTATCAAATCAAATTAGTCTGCATCTGGCTTTAATACAACACTTACAAGTTTGCCTGTGGCTGCAGCTGTTTTGTTTTCATTGCAGATGTATGGGACAATGCACCTTTTTACTATGTGCATATTAACAGGATACACTGTTACTTGTTCAACTTCAAATTGCTTTATTTTTCCCTTGTTATAAATTCTGATACAGGAAATAGAACTATTACAGTGAGACCAGAGCAGAGAAAACGTCATTGTTTTTTCCACGGCATTTCTCCTCAAGCTCAGGCTTAAAGACTCTCTTAAAGATAATGGGATTTCTGAATCTTGCAACTTCCTATAAAAGCCTTTTTATATCCTATAAATACTTTAAAAATACTTTTTGTCATTACACCAGGAATAAAAAATTTAAAAAACAAATTATTACAGAATTTTAGAATTTCTAAAGTCTCCTTTAGGATTAGGCTTAACAGTGATACCAGCGTAGCCAAATACTATACAGAAAAGTATCAGCTGCCCCACCTTCAGTCCTTCTGGTATTACAGAGGTCTTACCATATAACTGCACAGCTGCATTATTACTACTTACTATAAATTTACAGAAAGATATTAGGACTTTATCATCCAATCTAAAATAGATTCTGACTTCCAGATCTTGCATGAATATGCGAAATACAGAAGATCTTCAAAGATTTAAATCACTGGGACAGACACGTGCTAAACTGGGATTTTTTTTTTTTTTTTTTTAAATCAATAATTTCAGGTATCTTACTTCTATGAGAGCTTCTGCAGGGATGCATTTATATCATGACATCCTCTCAAAAGTTAAATGAAATGCTGCTATTTTTATACATAATAAATGAGCCAATTCTGTTTCACAAGTACTCAGAGCAGATGTCAGCAATTTTTTTTTTTTTGTTTTTACTGAAAACATAGTAGCAAACTGGTATTACTTAGTTTCCTCAAGTAAGCAAAGCCATTGGACACCTTTTTTCCCCCCTTTACATTCAGTTCACCAATTTACCCATACCTTTCTCAGTGTTATCTATAGTTACAGAAATTTTTGTCCATTAAAAAAAAATACTTAACATTGTCCTCCGGACCACACTAAACCTGCCAAACACTAGTGGACAAAACCTGAAAGTTTTTACTGTGTCAATCAAATGTATCAGTCAGTACAGACCCACAATCCCATCCTGGCATTGGAAACCCACTGGCCAACCCCCCCTTTGCAGGTTTCGGCAGGGTCCTCATATCACTTGAAATCAGCCAATCTAATTTCTTCATACCAGATTTTTTTTCCAAAATATTTCTGCTTCTTTGGCTATGGAGAAAGTAGGCTATGATTTTCCTACCCGTTCCACATTACAGCTTGTGAACTAATTGACATTAGCAAGAAACATTTCAGTAGGTCATTAGAGAGATTTTGCACTCCATTAATTCAGCACAGAAAGAATAATTATTTTTCTACAGTAACTTAGCATCTTTATATGAGTTCTCTATACAGTTATAAAAAAAAAAAATCCAAACCTTGTAGAAATGCCAAAAGTGATATTTGTGGGTATTAAATACTAATGCATATTTAAAAATATTTTTTTTAATGTGGAGAGTTCTGCTTTCTCCCCTGATAATATTAACTCACACTCAAAACCAAAGCTGTGATTACACGGCTACTTCCATCAGTGTTTCCAAAGCTGTGCTTTCAGCAAAAAGGACAATCCAGCTTGCCTTGCCCAGCATCACTGCCACCTCCCTTGTTCTGGCACTGGTGTTTAGACACACACAGTGTCCTAGCAGGAACTGATCCAGTTCAAAATTGGTTTTGTTGTTTTGTTTTGCTTTTTTCTTCTGGGCTATTTTTCAGACAAGCAGTTGCCAAGTGATCTTACTGTTGAGTTTAATACTGTTGCCAGCACAAAGCCCATAACAGAAAGCAGTCAGGGCAGAATAGAACACCCTTTACAGTCAATAAGGATGAGGAATTAAAGTTGGAATACCCTTTTTGGCAAGAGTAAAACTTATATTGTTTTGAAGTTACCAGGTAACCGCTGCAATTTATGTACCAATCTTAGAAAAACTTATAATGGACAAATTATACATGACAAAATAGCTGTGCTCCATTATTTTCATTACTATTTTTCCAAAGACTGTCTATAATAGCTTCTATTGAGTAGCATTGATTTGGGGGAGGAAAAACACACAACAAACCCTACATTCTGGGATTATATTTAGCTATAAAATATCAAACTTGTTGATTATGAAACTCAACACACTATTAGTGTTCTGGTGATAATGAAGAGACACTGCCATTTTGAATGCAAATGGGAAAGGCTGATAGTTCTCAGGGCTTTTTTGTTCGCGTTCCTTTGTGGTTTGTTGGTGGGGGTTTTGGCAGTGAAAAATTGGTGGGTTGTAACAGTCCTGAAAAAATAATATGTAGTGTTTTAAAAATGGATCACAATCCATCAGCCTATCTGTGACACAAAGAGTCGTTCTAGGGATGAGGAAAATAGATGAATCCAGTAACTGTTCAAACCTTGTACAAGTGTACAACACATTCAAAAACCATCCATAGTAAGCTTTCAGTGCAGTAACATTCTATAACAAAAAAAAACTTTAATTATAAAGTTGAATTTGGAATCCTCAAGAAAGCATCAAGCCACTGTCATTTTAACTATTTCAAAGGTATCATTAAAATATCAATGTGCAATCTGAGTTATTTGCTATTATTTCATTAACTATGAATACATTAAAGCCATCGCTACTCAGACAAGTTATTGTAGCGCTGGCTCCAGCCTTATGCTGGAGTGACTACTCTGCAATAACTGCCCGTACGAATACTTGGTCTGTTTAACTGTGTACTGATTTAGTAACATCTAAACAGTGAAGCCATTATAAATTATCACCATTTTTCCAATTTTACCAGCTTTAATTTGCCTAATAACATAATCTTCTTTCCTTATTCCACCCGGAATCTTATGCATGAGTAGAGAGATGAAATCCCATCTTCTCTCGCTCCCTTCTCCAACACACACATAAGTAAGCAGAGGATGAAAACAAGATTCTGTTAAAGACCATGGTTTGCATGAAAGGGAAAAAGCCTCTTGAAATAACAAATGTTAAAATACTTTTTATTTTCATTTGCCTCATTCCTTCTGAGAGTTACGGAATTGACAACACTGCAGAGACACAGCAAAGCAGAAACTCCAAATTTCATTATCACATAGAGGACAAAAATCAATGCTTAATTTAGGACCACAAAAGCAAACACATTTCATAAGCGGTACTTCTGCTAATTTAGTTCACCTACGGATAGCAGTGGAGATGTGAAAGCAAGCACAAACTACTAGTCCAGGCTAAGAGTCCAGGGTTCCAAGAAAGCTTGTACAGCCTGTGCCCACCCCGGCAGCAGTATTGCTTCACTGCTCTGCCTACACTGCTGCTTCTTGAAGCCATGACTATTAAGGAGTCACATTTTCTTTCAACTACCCAGAGGAAACACAAGAACTATACAGTTCACTGTCAACAGTTCTTTAATCTCTCCATCCACAGTAACTATGAAGGACTCAAACATTCACTAGTGTAATTAAGTAAATAAAAAGTTACCCATAAAAAGAAAAACCAGAAACTTCAACTTCATGATCTTTTGATGCAAATAACTGAATAGAACCAAAATGACACCACCCTATTTAATTCAGGCATAACATTCAAAACTTCTTCAAAAGCATAAATTTCCTACTCTCACACTTCCTGAAAAATTTTAGCAGCAGGTCATAACAGTTACCTGGATACATACAAAGTACATCCAGTATCATACACGGCTGCAGGTTCACATCAAGAATGTGAAATTAAAGTTTACATCCTACTTCTGAACTGCTTTGTCCTTGGTATGTCATTTCCATTCTGTAAAGTAATATTAATGCCGAGAGGTACACTATTGTTGTTAAGGATCAGCATCTAATATCAACATATCTAAAATTCAAGTGGTAATCAGAGTTTCATAAAGACAGATATAATAAGATAACCAGTGGTCTTCCAAATTTTGTAGTCTTAAGAGATATTTTAGCAGCAACTTCTGACAGAAAGGATTCCCATGTGCAAACCAGCAATTCCAAACCAGGTCTTTCTGATCAGTAAAAAAAGATAATATAAAAATCAAGGAATGTGCTAATTAAATCTCATTTTTTAAAACACAAAAAAATATCTTGTTCAATTTTTATCTTGAAATTATTGTTCAAAGTAATCTGGAGTGCTAATAAAGCAAATATTTGCTCTAAAACATTTTTTAATTCAGTGGCATACTACATGCAAACCCTAGCTCCTATAAAGCCTTTTTAAGGTCACATTCAGAGCATGAAATGTATAAAAAAGTGCTGTGCTTTAAGAAGCACCTGTCAATTTCCCAACAACCTCCAGAAAAGTCCTAAGTTTCACAACTCTTCTGCTGTGCAGCCAAAGACTGGGCAAGCATGATTTGCAATCACCTGTTATGAAGACTGAGCTGTAAGTGAAATCATCTCTCAGTGTACACAAGGTCATGCAGCACTCCTCTGCAATCCTGCAGATAGAATATCAGGGTGGGCTGGGAGCAGTCTACAGGAACGATTTTTTAAAGATTTTTTTTACACAGATATTTTCAGATAGAAATAAAACTCACAGCAGACTAGTTACATCTTAAATCAGAAGTCTGACCTTTAAAAATATGCTCCCTTAGACACCTGCATGAGCATTGGCTATTAAGGCTTTATTTAGTGCTCAAAAATCTTGTAAATATTATCCTGTCATGTCACTACAGGGCAAATTTTAGTAGGAAACAAATTAGACAACACAATGTTGTCCTTCTGTTGTATAGAAGGGTCCTGAACAAAAAAAAAATCCAGAAGATGATCTGCAGTTTCTGTGATGAAATTTATGCACCCTTTTTCCACAGCTGTGCTTTCAGAGAAGTCACAAGAATTTAGTACCTGTCAGTAACTGGTGGCAACCAAGTTACAGAACAGGTGAGAAGCTGTTTATTTTAAAACAACTTAAAACATCTTATTTACTTACACAAGTAAAAGAAAGCATAAAAAAACCACAATATGCAGATTTTATTATTCAGTAAAATATTTCACCGAACTGGGGTCTTTCTCAAGAATACCTGAAAAAACATGGAACAGTTGCTATGTATAGTGCTATAACCTTTGCTAATCTTTGTGGTTAAGCCAAACTTTAAAAACTGATTAAAACTGCAGTTGAAAAACTAAGTTCCCTACTATTTACTAAAGCCAGCACTATAATCAAAGAACCTCATACAGAAGGAACCAAGTAGCATCCTTTTAAAATGAAAGTTTTGGAACCTCTTTTTTTCCCCCACTGCAAAAACAAAATGGGAAGACTTGTGCTGGCAGGACAGATTTTCCTGGTGTAAACCAATACCAAAAATATAATCTTCCAATGACATAACTGAAGCAGACTTAACAGCTGTTTCTGATTCCAATATGACATTATAAATACACTTGTTCAAAAAAAATGGAAAATAACATAATGAAATAGGTGCAGAAATATAAAACTTTTGACAAAATTAATTCTTCATAAAATTGGTTATAAGACATGATCTGTGAGGCAGGATGAGTTTTGAGATGTCTATCATACACAGCAAAACTAACTCTATGGACCAGAATGTCTCTTGCATGGTATCTGTATTCTTTTAAGATATATCTGCTGCTAAGTTAACCTTAAAAATGCATGGGACCAATTCAGGAAAAACATTGAAAATGGTAGAAATTTTAAATTACAGCTCCTTACAACATAGTTTTCTAGTCTGCATATCAAAAGAGCAGATAAAAGGTTAGCACTATACTCGTAAATTGGAAAGGAAGCAGGGAAAGAATAGATTTTAAAAAAAAATATAATTTCAGGTTTTGTCTTCTGAAGTAAGAAGCACAAAAACCCAGTAACAGGAGATCTCACAGCTTCTCTCACTGCACTACTGCATTCCATTTTTCTTGTCTGATGCATTAGAATTAGTTGCTATGCAACCAAGCTATAAGCCTCACCATTTAATAATTCTTCTGCTAATTGCAATAGAGAAAAAGAGCTTCAGTGTCTGGCTTTGTCACAGCATTGGATTCTACCTGATCGGACAAACTATGACCAATAACAATGAACCTGGAAAAAGCATTTTTATTTAATGTATCTGGGATCAGCTATTACGAAGGTATTATCTTGTATGTATAGTCAACTCAGTTTAGATTATGGTGATAGATTATTTACTAAGTGTTCTACCAGCTTGTTATAGATTGTTTTGACATCCTTCCCCTCTTCACTGCACCAAAACCACCTCTGAAATGGGAAACTAATGATAGTGTGTGTGCTTCTGTTGATCTTGTGGTTCGTTTAATTTAAGAATTGCTAAGTATCAAGAATTGAAAATCTTGAGATTTACTTTCTATTGTATAGCTGTCTGAACTACACATAAGAACTAAATAAGCAACTGAAGGAGACCAATTGCGGCCCCTGCTGGTACCTAATGCACCTGCAAAACAATAACATCAATGCAATAAAATCCAAAAGCTTCCCATTAAAATTCTGTTACTGAAAAATAACATAAAAATGATAGAACAAAAGGATATTGTAGTAATCACGTGAGCAAAGACTATCCAGTGACTAAAGCATTATAGTAGCTATCAACAGTAACTCTGTCTACACCTTCAATTATGTCACTTAAAAGTCTCAAACTAGTTTGCTACTTCATAAAGTACTTCATAAGAAAGGATTTTTCAGCTTTGTACATCTCAGTCAGCAGGCCTGAAAGAGTACCCAATGAAAATATATGGTCTACCTCCTTTAAGATACATGGATACAGGTATTGTTTAAACATATTACAGTACCTTAAGGGTTCATTGATTTTGATGATTTCAAATTAAATTGCAGAAAAAGGAATCTTGGCTGCACCACTTCTAACTTCCGAAAAGTCATAATTTAAATCTGTATATATTTAATTTTATAAAAAGAAACAGACAAGACACCCCAGAGCATTAGGAACAAAACCATACCTACCAGTTCAGTTACAAGACTTCCTGCAGAGTGAGGAAAATAAAACCATACTGGCTGACACATTTAGACAGCAAGTTAATTTAAGAACTAAGTCTTTGTTCTACAAGTATATGCAAAAAAAAGAAAAAAATATTACAGATGGGGTAAACAAACTATCTGTGCTTCTACTAATGTCTTTCAACAGCAAAGGCTAGTCTTACTGTCCTCCACCTTATACTCATTTTTTGCTTATGAAAGACTACATTTATGTTTGGAGCACATTTCCATCTCAAAACCAGAGACTGAGTGTACATAGTTAAGTGTTCTGGGTTTGTTTGGATATTTTTCCAACAAGATATTAATCAAAGTAGGCAAAATAAGTAAGATCACATCAGAACCAACCATCAGTGCTTTCAGAGCCTGCACACATTTAAAGATGTTAATCAAATTAAATCATCATTGTTCATTTAACATTTAACTCAAGCCACATCAAGTCTAAGGATACCATTAGCTTCTCTCTCCATAGAGCAGCTAATGTGATACAAGTTGCAATGAACCATAACCTTAGATCTATCAATTCAATAATCATTTTAGAGTAGTAATTTCTAATGTGGCCAGCATATCAGGAATGCAGTACTGTATGCCTCTCTAAACAGATCTTACTGAAAGTCTGAAAGTTAATTCCATAAATCTAGATACATCAAGGAAGCACTTACTAATTGTCATGGACTCTGGCACAGTGGCTGAAGGCAAGATATTGCTTGAAGTATTCACTTGAGCCGGAGGACTGACTTCAACTCTAGTCACAAAAGTACAGTATCATCAATAACTGAAAACAAAAACTTGATTTCAAAACTTAAGAAAAAACATTCCAGAAACTAGCATTGTCATCATATTCACCCATATTCAATCAACTTATGTTTCATTATCCTTTAACGTATCTGTTGTGAGTCTGATTTAAGAATATATACAAAGAGCCAAACCAACAGACCATGAAGTATACAGTCAAAAATAACATAAAAAACCAATATAAAATCTACTTTCAAATCCAGGAGGCTAAATCTGCCTCTTATTTGCCACAACTATGTGACTTCTTCAAGACAATTAGGAAAAGGTCAATATATGAAACTAAACAAAAAATGAAGGGTAGGCTTTTACATTTGTCTTTCAAAAAAATCTGAGGTATCCTTATGAATATTTTGCTTTCCAGTACTGAGGAGCTACGCATTAGGTAAAAATAACAAGCTGGTAGCTACAGAGTGAAGAACTGGGATTTTAAAAAAAAAAAAAAAATAAAATAAAATGTATTTCACATGTACCTGTAAGGAAGATCAGATCTTCTTGGAACCAGTTCTACTGCATGAACAATATGTTCATGCCCTTCTCCATTCTCCAAGTTATCTAAAGTAGAACGCATAAGCATTAGCTTTCTTCAATTAACAGTACTTAATAAGTAAAAACAAAACTGGAATGAAGGTAGTTACATTTTTAACTAGAAATATTCATCTTTACTGAAGCTTTTCAACATTTTTAATTCTTTCTCCAAGTTTGGTTTCTGCACATTTACCCTGAATTCCAGCATGATTGTCAAGTCCCTTAGGAAGGGACAGCCATCAGTCTAGAAAAAATATTAGTATTGCACAATACCTATATTATAATTTAGATGCATATTTTAGATTGAAGATGTTGCAAAGCTACAGAGACTTCTTACTGAAGTTATTTTTGTAAGGCCCAAGAGTTTAACCACCACATGGCATCTGCTCCTTGCTACAAACACATTTATGACTAGCAGGAATTAAATTGTAGTTAGTCCTCAGTATGTGGAACCTTGCAAAGACACCAATCCTTTCTGCATTCCTGACAGAGCACCACAGCTTTTCTCTGGCTCCTTATGCCTATGTATCAAATGTCAGGGATCAGACAGATGAGACAGGTTTTAAAAAGCATGGAAAATAGGCATCTGTCCACAGAACCACAACTGTCAGGATCAAAACATATAGATCCCTGGGCCTGTCATTAATGTAGTTCAGGTGGAAAGAAACAAAACACACATTTTATTGATTTTTTTTTTGCATCTCACGATGTGAGGGTTACAAAGTTACTCCAAAACAATCCTAAAATCATGAGCTAAATTAGCACAGAATTTAAAAAGCAGGAACACCATGGAAAAAAAAGTTAATGGGAATTAAAGTTATGTCAAAATGACTGTGGAGGAGAGAGTTTTTAAGCTTTAGAGTTTACTGAAGCTCAGTTCCTAAAATGTATACTCCACTTTTTTTCCAAGCAACTGAGTCGGGCTTTCTCATCTGTCGGTGCACGGAGATCTGATACACCCTGACACATCCCTGAAGCACTGCAAGACTAGAACTGAAAACACTTCCTAACATGCACCACTGAAGATTATGCTGTAATTTATTTCAAATACATTTGTCTTGTTATTTACCTGTATTAAGACCTATAAAACCAAATATTGGGTTAAACTATATATTTTACAAGAGTTCATTGACAATGTTTTAGCAAAACTGTTGTAACAATTACAATAATAATAATAATAATAAGCTTCCAGTTACTAGGCTGAACTGCCCTCAGGAAAAGCTAAGCCACATTCCTTCTTAAGCCATCCATCTAGCACAAGTGACTTCCAAATTCAAGCAAACAACTGCCTAAGGCAGCTTTCAATCTCATCAAATTGTCACTGTGGCTGTGGAGAAGTTGACCATACCCATGTGTATCACTCTCCCTAACTGGATGACATTTGGGCTGCATGATGGGCCTTTTAGTGAAGACTGTCTGCACACTGTCAGTTCAGGACTGTTCAGAAGGGCCCAGTGACAGCAGGAAAAGTTGAAATCAGGAAATCAGACAGCAGAATCTGTATTGCAGTTTCCTGTAATTGATCAAGATTCCTTTCACCATTCCCATGCCATATCCTTCTAACTTGCATGCTGGACCATAGAGATTACCACAAGAATGGCAGGAGAAGAATTGAAAATATTGTGCTAGAAGGGATCTGAATGGGGCTGATGTTGATCATCTCCAATAGTCTGAGCACTGTCTTCAAATCAGTTCTGAGATGATGCAGGATAAAACAAGTGTCTTTCAGATCTCCTTAATAAAAGTAACTCCCTGTTACACTTATTGTCCTCCCTGGTCATCTGTCTTCAGTGCTAAGTCTTGGCTTGGTCTCCTGAATTTTGGTTTCAGTTACAAACCCGTAGCTCTGGCTCCTGATGCCTTGTTGGCTACTAAATCCCACACTGCTCAACTTCGTGAATAAATGGACTTACTCTTAAGAGGCACATGTCTTAAAATACAGCAGAGGGCAGTGCAGTGCTATTTTACAGTTCACACTATTTTTATCACCAAACTTACAGAACTGAATTACACTTTTCCACAATGGCCTTCAATTAACAGTCCATTTAAACTCTTGACACATAAAAGGTATATGCAAAAAATATTAAATATTTTATAATTAAAACATTATTTGAATGCCACTGAGAAGTTTTTAGGTGGTCGCTTTAGTGAGAATACATACCCAAAGTTTTATACAAGTAATGCTCAGCTAGCAAACAGCTAGCAAAATATTAACTTGGAGGTAGGAAGAGAGGGGTTTCCAAGGTGTTTGGGTTTGGTATCAATACAGATATTGGAAAAGCACCAGGATATTCTTCTCCATACCTCTGCCCATTTTCATTGCTTTCTTCAAGATCTCCTCCACACGGCCCACATGATCCTTGCCATGTGGTACCCAGACTGCACACAATACTGCAGCGAGGCCAATCAGACCCAACCAAGCACTAATTTACACCTGACCCTTTCATTTATGCATACCCACAAGAAGCACAGCACTGCTAATTCACTATTCAGGCCCACTTTAGCGGTTGTCCTGCAGAAAACCACTCAAGGATAATGGCAGATAAAAAAATAGACCTGAGTCAGTAATTTGTGCTTACAGCCCAGATAGCCAATCTTGTCCTAGCTTGCATAAAACAAATGGTTTCTTTGGGTTTAGGGAGCTGATTCTCCACCTCTATTTTGCTTTTGTGACCCAAATTTGAGTACTGCATCCAGCTCTAGGGTCCACAGGACAAGAAAGGCATGGACCTGCTAGAATCGGTCTGGAGGAGAGCCACAAAAATGATCAGAGGGATTAGAACACCTCTCCTCTGAAGAACTGCTGAGAGAGTTGGGATTGTTCAGCCTGGAGAAGGCTCTAGGGAGACTTTATGGTGGTCTTTCAATATATAAAGAAGACTTATAAGAAAGATGGAGAGAGACCTTTTATTATGGCCTGCAGTGATAAGACAAGCAACAACAGTTTTAAACTGAAAGGGGGTAGATTTAGATTAGATGTAAGGAAGACTTTTTTTTTTTTATGATGAAGGTGGACACTGGAACAGGTTGCCCAGGCAAGTTGTGGATACCCCATCATTGAAAAGGTTCAAGGTCAGGTTGGTCAGGACTTTGAGTAACCTAATCTAGTAGAAGATGTTCCTGTCCATGGCAAGGGGGCTGGATTAGATGGTCTCTGAAGGTCCCTTCCAGCCCAAACTATTCTATGATTCTACGATTCCCAAACCCTTTTCTGGAGCAGTATTTCCTAGCCAATCACTCCTCACCCTGTATATAAACCGGTAACAGCTTCCATTGAACTGCATCCAATGTTTGATATTTTCTCCAATCTGTCAAGATTAATTTGAATTCAAATTCTCAAACACACTTTCAGCCTCTTCCAGCCTAGTGGTATTTAGAAAATGAGTAAGGATAATTTCTTCTTTTCTTGAGGATACTCAAGGTATTAGTATAAATAAAGTATTAGGATACTCAAGCATTCTAAATATTAATAAAACACCATACAAGACCACAGCTTAATTCCAACAAAACTGTTTTATTTTGACATTGGTAAATCCTCCTCAACTAAATACAGACTCAAATGAAGAACTCTGACTAAGATCTAGAATAAATTTTAACTGAAATTCCCATCCCAGTTGTTCACCATCTCCTATATCCTTATAATCCTATTATTTCTTACAATCGTCCCATGTTAGAAATCCTGTTATAAAGTTTGCTAGAATTCAGTTAATTGAAATACCTACCTGTTTGGGAGTAAGAGCCAACAGCACTGACAGGAAACAGAACATCTGAGTCATCATTCAGGACCTGCAGAGGAGTCCAACTGCAAATCTGAGAATTGCACGTGCCTACTTCACGAGACCTAGATCTAAAACAAACAAATCAACCTATTTATACAGTCAGCATTCATGTTCACAACACTCAGATTTCTTCCAGAGATGACTGCAAGAAAAATCTTTATTTTAATGCCGATTACTTGGTTCACACATACATAAACTCACTAAAAATCAGACCACTCCAAAGCAGATGAGGCAAGCACTGCTCCCCTCTTTTCCTCCAAAGGGATTTCTGCATCAGAAATAAAGAGGGCAAATCAGTACCTAAAATTACTCTTTTTCTATTACTACCTACTCTCATGATAATAGGCTCACACTGTTTAAAATACGTGGTTTTACTGTAAAGTCAAAATAAGAGTTGATATCATACTAAGAATAAGGAAACTTCAAACAGGTAAGAATTATAGTCTGGCTATACCCATGCAACAATTTTAACAACCAAGAACTTCAAGGAGAACAAATATAAAAATCTTGAGATTCTGCCTTTCAGTGGAACTCAGATCTTAGAAGCAAAATACTAACATCACAGTGGCCCAAACAGTTTGAACAACGGAAAAGAAAAAAGGAGGGAGGGGGAAAAAAAAAAAAAGGGAGGGACACCTCTAGTTCTGTTAGTTACATAAATTTGCCAGTAGCCATGATGAAAGCGAGGGCAGTGGGGCGCACGGAAAAATTTACCACTGCCTCCTGCAACATTACTTACTTTTCGGCAGCTTCAGTTTCACCTTCTGCACCTTTATTTCTGAACGTTTTTCCATATAACTCATCCTCATCTGCATCTTCATCATCAATACTCTTCACATCTAGTTTCTGGTACTCATATTCTCCATTCATGAATACTGAATTGTTCTTCCATGAACAGTTACTTTCATTCCCATTCAAATTCTTCCCGAGAGTACTTTCAGATGAGGGTACTGAGGGTAATACAAAAACTGAAGATCTGTCTACACCTTCCTCTGAACTTTCCCCAGTAATCAGAGCCTTCGTGGCATCTCCCAAATTTTGCTCATCTTCCTCTTCATCAAATGAGATAATATTTGTCACTCTCTTCTTCTTTTTCCGATCTTTTTTATATTTCATGTCTAGCAGGAACATAAAGGTTTACATAGTTGAGAAAAGAGAAACAATGTAAAACACGTTTTTTTTCCTTAAAAGAACTCATGTACTAAATGAGTTAAGTAAAGAAAAAACATTTAGATCTACAAGGCATTTCATTATCTCTCCATACACATGACCTTTTATATTGTTAACTAACATCTTTTTTTTGTGTATGCCTTATGCAATTCAGACACTAGAAGATGTTCTGGAGATGCATTCATAACAATATTCAATCCTCTCTGATTACATCATATCTATACTCTGACAGCACTTATTTTTAAATTATTACCTATTCTCACTGATTCCAATGTGCACATGAGGTTAAATATTTTGCAAAGTTGAAGCATTCTAAAAAATACCAAAAGTTTACTCATCAAGAAAATTGATACTGAGACTAAACTGGTTCATTTAATTCTAGTCTAGCTGCTATATATCCACAAAAATCAGTAACATACTTCTAAGAGTAAGAGGATGCTAAAATCCGTTCTGGATATAAATAGAATTCCAGCAAAGAACATGGACTTTAATGAAAACATCTAACCTGCCCTAGCACTCGATATGCAATGGCATTTGAACAAACGCTATCTTTTTAAAGTGACATTTTATTGTAAGTTGTACATTACACATACTGTATACACAGGTACTGTACACATAATCTACATTATGCTGTAGAGTCATGTGCAGCACATGGGCAATTATTACATTATTTCACCTTGCAAGCCCCTATTCTATGCTAATAAAGTTATCCTAGGTCAAGTATCACCTACTGTTCTAATCTCATTTGAGTGCTAAACAACAAAAGCTTTACCACAAGTTTGGTTTTAGAACTGTTTTGGGACAGTCTATTTCAGAGGTCAATAAAACAGATTTTTCTCAACTTCTGTTCCTACCAGATAGCACTCACATGGGGGTTTTTCTTCCTTTTTCTCACCATCAGAACAATTTAAAGCCTAAACTCAGACTTCATTTCTTAATTGAAAAACATAAATCCCGAGGTCTTCCTCCAGTTTTGTACCTTCACAAAGCAAAACTCTCAGCTATACTTTTGGAAATAAAGGGGATAAAATATAACTTTGCTATTTTGGAACTAAAAATGTATAATGAGTATCACATCTTGCTTGCTTAATTTCAAGTTTTAAGACTTTAGGTCCTTACTAGTAACTAACATCCTAAACAGTGGTTGCATCACTAACACATTTAAAGGTAAAAAGAGTGTATAAGTAAACCTTCTTTTCTGATAACTACCTACTCCAGATAGGTATTCAGACTGTAAACACGGGCACTGCTTGAAAAACACTACAAGCAAGATTTTTATCCAATAAATAAAAAACAGATAAGTGGCCATGTATTTCTGACTGATAAAACAAAACTGCCAAAAGAAAACACTAAAAACGAAAAATCATTACATCAGGATCTGCAAGGCATAATTCTAAGAAGAAGAAACTGAGACCCAGGTTTACCAATAAGATAGTTTAGCTTCCCTTTTAGTGGTACCAGAAAGCTAAAATATACATTTATTACTCAGTATTCACACCAGTACTTCTAAAAATTTTCATATTTTTTCCACACTCAACTAGTTTGTATGTGTCCTGCACACACTTTTAAGGTTTTTGTTTCATAACAGCACATTAAATTTAACTGAAAAAGTTATTTAAACACAATTGAAAAATGCATGTTTCTGAATGACACTAACGTTGCAAAAATGCTTACCAGCATTGACACTCCTTGAGAGAACAGGAAGCAGGTCAGCGTCTTGATCGGGTCTTATTAGAACGGAGACAGCAGAGGATGCAGTTATCTCTCTAAGAAGGCTGCTAACACCCTGAGTGGATTCCTTCAATAATGAGGTTACATTTTGTGTTGATTCCTTTAACAAATCGGATACGGTGGGTGCACATTTACTCTGCCCATTCAGATCCTTATTATCAATGTTGATTGCAAAAAGAATGGAGTTCAGACCTTCAGATAAAAGAAAGAAGGGGGGGAAACAGACCAAAACCCCACTATATACTTCATAGAAAACTTATGAACATACATCCTAAAAATTAACAAAGCTATGACATGTAAAATATTTTCTCCTAGAATTTCCCACAGTTCTCCATGCAGGAATTCTTATTCTTTCATGTACCATTCATTCTTTTTTAGATTATACTCAAGCTGATGCAATCAGTTCTGAATTCATCTTGATGGCTGTTCAGCTGTGCATTAAGTAAACAGTAAGTACTGTGAACTCATTTATTTATAACCTTTTATTTAAATCCATTTCACTACAACCTTAGTATCTGTTGGTTCCTATATTCTGTTAACAAAAACTCCTGTGAAGCCTAACTTCCAGAAGAAAGCATGTGGCCACGTATCTGAGAAAAGGTATATAGAAGTTAATAATACATGAACTCTGTGGTCAAACTCTAGAAAAGTAAATTATCTGTTATCATTCTTTATTCTTACTCTCCATGTACTCACCTGCAATTTGGCTCTTACTACAAAAGTCCATCATTGCACTTTTTTAGTCAGGAAAAACCCATTTTGGTTTCTCTAAATCATGCTAGATTTTGTTTTGTGTTTTTTTGTTTTGTTGTTGTTGGGTTTGTTTTGGTTTGGTTTGGTGTGTGTTTGTTTGTTTGTTTGTTTTTAAAGTTAACCTTTACTGATCAAGAGTTAGAAAATTTATGGGAAAGCCTTTTCAACAGTAGGAAGGTCAGATCCTGTGTTTTAACAGTTCATCAATTCATAGAATAAACTGCCATAATGACTATTGCACCCTGAATGTGCATCTGACACACATTCTCCACATAACCAGAGTGCATTAGAGAAGCTCCTCGCAGCCAGAAACAGATAAAACATCCCAAAAATGAAACGGTTTTCCAAGAACAGCAGCATTTAAGAGAAAATCTTACCAGCTGCCATTGTAGGGATCATACTAGAACGTTCTTCATCCATCAAAAATGACCAGTCTTCATAGAAGACACTATAATTGGAAAAGAAAAAAAGAAGAAAAGAATATGCAGTCCTATATTAACATATATTTCTGTAAGATATGAAAACTCTGAAAAATAAGTATGAGTACAATAATGGATCAAACTATATGTCACAGTATCTCCCTGAAGCCCTGAAATATACAGAACTGTCTGAATAGTTATCAAAAGACATGTGAAATAGTGTTTTATCTTCAGTTTTAGCTCTGCTTTTTCTTTAGGGGAAAAAAGCCACTCAGGGCAAGGAGGCTCATACTACACTAGCAGTCACGATATTTCTCTACATCTATTGCTATACTGCATACACAAGTTTTTCAGTAACTCTAGCTGACTGCAATTACCAAGCCATTTTATAAAATATTAGAATACATGAATACATATCCACTTCACCACAAGCAACGAGATCTAGTGAAAGATGTCTCTACCCATGGCAGCAGGGATGGACTAGATATCCTTAAACGTTCCTTCTGACCCAAATCAATCTATTATTCTATCATTCGGTGACCTGTTTCAATATCCAAAACCTCACCAGTTACCCTAAATGGTTAAGAGTCAGCTAGGAATTTGGATGTAACAAAAAAAAAAAAAATTTAATATGAATTTCACTATGAACACATGCATTTATCTGTTTTAAACCTAGTTCATTTCAGTAGCAAATACTATATTTTTTCTGTCAGTATTCAGTTACTTAAAAAACAGACAGTATGAAAACCATCCACCTATATTAAACAATTTTGACAGATTCAATTAAGTTTCCAAAACATGTAAGAATTTGGGATGTAAACTGATTCTGTAAATACCATTTGAATTTGAGTAACATTTCAATCTTAAATATTCTAGAATAAGCCTTTTTAGAAATAACATTTCATGTACAACACAGACTGTTGATAATCCTGATACTGTGCAAGTATTGCTACAAGCGTGAGAGTAGTAAGTGATATACCAATCCAGTAGTTTCCAGATTTGTTTTTCTTTGTTGTTTCATTTGTTTGTATTTGATTGTATATAAGAATCTGTCTTGCAAGAAAGCTACAGAGAACTGGAACAAACTGAAAATGAAGGTACTAACAAGCTCAGTTCCAGCAATAATCTTATCCAGTACATCCATTAATTGATGCAAAGGGAAAGAATGCCTTCCGGCTGAATCCACTGGACTTGATCAAGCTCAACAATTATTGATACAAGGAAAATACTCCAAATTTTCTAAAAGAAAACAGGCTGAACTTGTATGAGGAAGAAGACAGGACTCAGTTACGTACCATCTTAAGTGCATTTTGCACATCCAGACTACCTTAGGATTTCACTATGTTTAGTAAGTTATTGATTAACTGTAACAAGAAGGTTCACAAACTGGTACAAAACCACCTCCAAGTGATCTGCAGTAGTTGCTACCTACTGCTTGACTGTTGTAGCACCTCCAAAAGGCAACAGGCAATTACCATTGATGAATGGATAAGAGTGATAGTGTACTATATTAATGTAGTAAGAGGGGCACCTCTAAGCATAGTGTCAAGGTCCCAGTGAGGACAGCCTGAAAGAATAAGGAAGGGAATTAGGAAAGGGGATAGAAATGCAGATGAGGATAGAAGCATATATTCTCATGTGCTAGAAGGAAGCCAGTTTCAAGGTCACATGTCAACAGAGACACAAGCCACTATCTCAATGGCTGACAAAAACTTCAAAAATGAACCAAAGCATGAGGTTAAGTGGCTTCCCGAGCATAGCGATACATATGGTGTATTATTACAGCGGTGGGGTTGGGTTGTTTGGTCGGGGGGTTTGTGATGTCCATATTTCCTTTGCCAACACTCTTTTTTTTTTTACTCTTTCTGCATTTGCCAGATGTCAAGGCCCGTACCTGAGCCGGCTCCTGTCCGCCAGCAGCATGTGAACGTATCTCTCCAGGGAGTGCTCGTTCAAGGCACAGCGCAGCCAGGCCCGGCCTCGGCCAGCATCCGTGCTGATTGTCTTCAGAGAGTAGAAGCGCTGCAGCTCGTGCCTGCTCAGCACCTCCTTCACGTAATACCAAAACACAGGCTCTGGAATTAAAAAAAAAAAATAAAAATCACATAAAACCACACTAATCTCATATCTGGATGTATTTACATATAATTGTATAAAACAAGCAGGTAATGGTACGCAACCTTGAACAAAGGTGAATCATTTACCATCCTCATATAACTCCCCAGTTAAATAGGTTATTTATTTCTACAGAACTTGGGCTATTAGAACTTTACAGTTCACTGAAAAAGCCAAACACGCGCATTAAAGGTTTCTGTCTCACATTTTTAAATAGAAGTCACATTTATAAGCACATTTAAGCTAGTATTTTCATAGACGGGTTCACACGTTCAGCTGGGAATGTATTTTGCAAAAGACAACTCTGTCTTACTGCAACATGGGCAGCTCCAGAATTTGCAGCCATTAAAATGACAGATTTATGTTACTTTAAAAACCAAAAGTGTTACATTTAAAAGGCAACAATACCCCTTCCCACTAAAATACTTTCCTTGCCCTGTCCCCAAATATTGATAAAAAGTTTTTTCAGTTGTCTCAAATTTCTCAATTGGAGGTAACAAAAATCATATCAGCAGCTGTAAATGTACACTAAAACACCTAGCATTTTACATATTCCTGTTTCTTAACTGAATAAGAAGATATTTTAAGGATGCGTTTATTACAATTCACCTCTTAATATTTTCTCAGGGTGAAAAGAACAATAAAACATCAGATATTTCAACTGCAAGACTTCAATCATTACTATACAGTATAGTTTGGCAATCATTAATCACTAATATTGCATCAAATACATATTTCTTCAAAGTATCTTAAAACATTAAGAACAACATACCTGTGGCTTTGACTTGTTGCAAATAGAATTGCTCAAATAACTAGAATGGCTTGAAATCTGGTAATCTATACAGTCAGTAACATATTAAAAGACTGAATTTAAGGCAAACAGGATATTTTTAAGAGTAAAGAAATCTGAGAAACCCAGGCATTAGGAAAAAAACTTAGAACATATCTTTCAAGGAAAACATGCAGGTACTCCTTGTGGCAGTTTAATGAATGCCTTTGCTCAACATTGGTTTTGGTTAGCAAAAAAGGGAAAATAATTCTATTGTGCAAGTGAATGGTGCACTACCACCTCAAATATTATGCTGGCTTTCAATCACAATCTCACTGTAAGCAGCATAATGCAGATGTTTAAAGATGGGTAAAAAGTTTCCTCAGATACAGACAAAAAAATTCACGCAAGAATGAAAACAAGTTGATCCTGCCACTTCTTCCTTAGCACTTTACTACATCTTTTTTAATGTAGTAAGAATTTTAAGAAAAGACCATCCATGACACTTCTCCTTCTCTCTGCTGTATAAAGAGAACACAGTCAGACTTTGAATAGGTTGTTACTACAGTTTATGATTTCTTTTGGTGAAATATGCTCATTTGAGGGTATGGGTTTCTTTCATAATCTCTGCTGAAAGTCAAACACAGCACTAGATTGGCAAAGTTTTTAATTTTAGAAACCTGAACACATAACAAGGCAGACAGACTCATTAATTAAAAGTTTTGTCAAATAGGTGTGACAGCTATGCAAAAATAACCCAAAACTCTTCTAAAATAGACAAATGCGCAAAGCACAGGAACCACTGCATTGGCAACACAGGATGCAAAAGCAAAGCTTTACTTTGCTGAACTAGGACCTCACAGGCACACTAGCGTGCAAATACAGAGATCCACTGAACCTGTAAGGGCACTCAAATGATTGCACTTGATCTGCATTTCAAAAATAAAATGCACATATATTTAAAAAAAAAAAAGCATTCCTTAAATACCAGATTTGTATCAAGATGATAGCAGCTTAATGATTCATTGTTTCTTGTGACCCATAAAATCCACTTTTCCATCTTAGTACAGCTTGGAACAATACTGAAGTAGGAAGTGAAAATATTACAGAAATACAGAAAACAAGCAGATTTCCCCTTATGCTGAGAGTGAAACTCAGTGTTTCCTGGCATTCTGATTACTTGTATTATCAAGGATTTTAAAAAGCTTCAAAATTTTAATTATCATCAATTTTTAACGAAAATCTTTCCAATGGAAATAAAGTAAAAGCATTCCATATTCTAAGTTCTATAGTCTTACTGAAGTCCTAACTGCTGATATTAGTTTTCACAGCACAAGTAAGATAATTTTAATTTTAGTAATAAACAATCTGTACAATTGTACTGCAGGCAGAGAAGACACCAATGTTATGTCATTCATCCAAATACTGATCACTTTGTGAAAACAATGTATTTAACTTTACTAATATCACAGTTCCTATAACTGCAATACCATCAACCATTAATCAGCACTGAGCAGTGCTCAGTCTCAAGCAGAGATCAGTCTAAACCCGGTTCAAATGCTTTTTTATACAAAAAAAAAAAAAAATTAAAGAATTTATATTTGCAGACATTGTGCATTTCAGTGTCTGTTCTGTGAAGTACTTAAAGAGCAGTTTCATATTTGCCATGAGTATCTCATAGTAGAATGTTCTTTGCTATAGTTGGAAATATTACTTTTAATTGAGAGTATCATTAAATTAAGATTATATTCCATAAACCTCAGTCTATCATTTCCAACTCTAACCACAGCCACTAATAATTTTATCATACTAGCCCTCACCTCTACAATGTCCTACTATTCATAAGCAAGCTATGATATGCAAAGTAGCAAAACTATAAACATATTGTGATTTAGCAACAATTTGGAAATACATTCCCATGCCTGGTATTGATCTGCCATGAGGCTGTGAACAAACTATCTCCATAATTCTGCCACCGTTTACTTATCTGTGAATGCATATTACTATCCTACAGTTATAGCATCAAAGCACAAACACCGATCTACAGCAACAGGCAGCACCAGAGACAAAATTTTTCTTCAGCCTGGAGAAGAGAAGGCTTAGAGGCAGGGCAGACACCTAACAGCAGCCCTCCAGTACCTCCAAGGAAGTCATTAAGAATACTGATTTAGGCTCTTCACATCAGCACATAGCAGGACAGCAGACAACAAGCGTAATGGAAAACGAGAGAGGCTCAGAGTGGATATATAAAACAGTCAAATGCTGGAACATGGCTGACCAAAGAGGCTGTGCAGTTTGTGGAGGTCTTCCGGTCCCAAAGAGATAAAGCCCTAAGTAACCTCATTTACTCTCACAGAAGATATCTGTAGGAGTGCAGACCTCCTGAAGACCCTTCCAACATGAATTCGACCATGATCCCCTGACTGAATGTAGAAAAAACACTGCTATGAACTATTACTGCTGTTACTGATAGAAATGTTCCAGTAAGCCTGGAACCTCTAACTGAACAGGAGACAGAGCAGCCAGAGGCAATGGAAGAGTTGATCTGTTCAGAATCTTTTAACAAAATTGTCTTAATAATTTTTAGTGAATACTGACTGCATCAGCTACAGTGTTCTCAGATAACCTTAGCTGGAGTTAGAGACCCTGATATTGTTACAAACTAAAGACAGAATGCAGATTTGTTTGCTGGTTTTATTGAGCTTGTTTAATGCAAGATTAAAGGAGGTACATATGCTTGTAACACTCACACCACCAGTTAACACCAAATTACACTGATGTTAGGAGTTTGCTTACTTGAATATATATTTTTTAATTAAATATTTTAAATAGGATTTTTAAGTCATAGTTCCAACGAACTACTAGTGGAGATTTTATTTAAAACTTGTATTTTCATTTAAGAAAAACAAAATAAAACACTGAAGCTCTTAGATGCAAAATGATGTGGCATTGTTTACAGCCGTTTGAAAGTACAGTTTGTCATGAAATATCTGTAAATTTCAAATAAAGAACACTGCTGAACAATTTCATTTTCCAATTGTCAAAGCCTGAATGTATAGCCTGAACAGCAGTGTTCCACTATGTTAAAGAAAAAGATGACATCTGTGATTATGCTAGACAGAATATAAATCATGTGCCTGAAACTCATAAAAATATAGAAGTATTTTGCAATCACTTTCAGGAAAAAAAATAAAAAACAACCAAGCAACAAAACAACACACTCATGTGCAAAGATACATGCAGTGGAACCCAGCAATTTCCATTAAAAAAAAAATGCTTCTCTTTTTAGTCACTGTAAAGTATTCAGTTTGCTGTAAAGCAGCCACATTTTGTTATTGCTTAAGCTTAGGGAGTAAAAATTATGTTTTCTTCCTTCTTCTATTCCCAAACCATAGATAACTTTCCTTTCTTCTCTTCGTCCACATCACCTCACAGAGAAGTCCCCTAATAAGACACACACAAACATAGAGCTAAATAGTTACAAAGATACCAGGTATCAGAGATGCATCTTTCTAAATACAACCAGTAAAAGACAGGACCAAAAATTTCATATACCCTTGGCAATACTAACAGAGAGAATCATAAAAATTATAGGTATGTCTTCAAATTTAAAGACGCTGTTTGCACAGATGAGCAAGGGCATAACAGGGAGAACATTCTCTGCATCTCAGTTGCAAGCTACAGGGGACAAAAAACATATGACCAAATCACTACCCATTAAAGAGATGGAAACTAGCCGGAGGCTGAAAGAGACTGCAGAGTACCTAATCCTCAATTACAAACCCACAAATGGGACAAAACAGCATACAGAAGAGCCAAAAAATCTGTAAAGATTGTGTAAACAGCTGATTTTTTCTTTCTTCTTCACTCAGAGTCCACAAACTGTTGAGTCTTGTCCATCACTAAGTAAAAGAGGGAAAAATGGGAAACAACAATTTCTCTAAAAGTGTAACTATTTTAGCTCCCAAAAACCCCTAAGTCTGGAGGCTCAGTTAGAAAGGAAAAGCAGCACGGAAGTCAGCACAGAAGGCCAAACATTTTGCCCTATCATACACTGGAAAGAAGTTCATTGTTACAGCAATATAAAAACACCATTATATCAATCTACACATTTTGTGTTAATGTGATATCCATTACATGCAGTTGTCTGGTGTAACTGGAAGCTATGGCTGCAGATAAAAACATAGTAACAATTCTAGTACCACTGAATATATTAAAAAAAAAAAAAAATAGACAAAACACCAAATCCCACTATTTGTTACATGCTATGGTTGATGGAGTTTCAAAAGCCAGAAAGACACTCCTTTGTATTATGTGTACCTCATCAAGAAAAATGATACTGTGTGTCAGACTCCACAGCAAAACTGGTGATTGAAGAGAAACATCTTCATATGCTTCTGATAAAAAAACAAGGGAAACTTCGCCGGTTAAGAAAAGGCAGCAAAAATAAAGGATATTGCTTTAAATGTAGATAAAATAAAAAACAATCCAACCAATATAAATAGTGTAAGTTTTGTTTTTAAAATGACACCAATATTTAAAAGTTAAACATAGCTGAAGGTACAGGATATGGCACTTAAAGACCGGAGTAAGGCATGGTTAAAAATGAAAATGTTGTAGTAAAAACTTAACAGCACAATTACACAATGTTTATTCCTACCAGGATTCAAAAGAAATTTGCCAGTGATACTATTCATGACAGAACTGTAGGAAGTGCAAATTTCCAAATGTGATTTCTAAAGAAACTTGGTATTAAAATTAAACCAGATTTAAGAAAGTAATAATCATCTTCACTGCTTACTGAGAGTCCAAATATTAAGTATGCTATCAACAGTCTGCAGTCCGGTGCACTGCTTAAAACTTTCATTAAAAATCATATCCCTTGCTTGCACTCATCTACTCTTTAAAATAGAATAGTTACAATTAACAAATTACCTGTTTCAGTTTTACTGGAGAAACCTGCCGCCTGTTTGATCGCTGCTGCTGTTAAAGCCAATCCTCTGCTCCTCCTCAGGCCATGCTGGAACACAGCTTCAAACTGAGCACACAAACAAGTGACTCTACAACAGAGTTTTTAAAGAAATCACGTGAAAAGAACAATCAACTATGTTTCTACAGAGCAGGTTTAGTCCAAATCTCTGAACAGAGAATATGAAGGTGAACGACTATATGCAGTAAAAGGCCCCTTGTATGCACTAATCTCATTATTTGTAAATAGTATAATCTACTTATACCTGGAGTTTCATCATGACTATCCAAAGCTGAGGCACAAACTACATTCAGAAGAGCTGGCAATCAATCTGAGAAAGTGTCACCTGCTGTAGTGGTTGTCAGATGTATTACTTCAGCTTCAGATTAGCTGCGTCTCAAATAATGCAATTACGTTTTCATAAATACACTTTGTACTACAAATGCAATGAAAGATCTTCTAAAAATATGTTATAACTTCCTATAAAACGAATAGACCGTTTTGTTAATTAGCCTTATACACAGTAATTTCAGCCTAGGAAAACAAACAGATTTTAATGTCTTTCCAAAATTATAGGGATAGGAAAATAAAGATTTTTCTGCAGACGTGCTCAATCTTCAGGTTTTGAAGATTTTGAAGATCTCTACAATACTATTTATAAATATTTCCTGATATTTTTTAAACAAAACCCAGTTAATAAATCATTTTTCACACAAGTAGAAACATTGTAAAACCAGCCAAGTTTTAAAATTCAGCCTGCCAAAGAAAGAACTATTACTGTAACCTACAGGGAATAGAATGTTTCATGTGTAACAGACATGAAGGCAATCTGTTTGAAAACTTTTTTTCTCCAAGTTTTACTTTTTTTGCCATTAATTAAACAATACTTAAAACTTAAGCTTTAAGAAAGTTGTCACATGGCTGCCAAAGCTTCTTTACTAAAAGGAAAGACAGATACTTTAATCAAATTTAAAAAAAGTTGACAAACTGGCTCAGGACTCTGCTCTGGCATTCCAGAAGCACAGTTTTATTCAGGGTCACAAAGAAGCACAAGATCTCAGGAGGATCTCCAAGAGAAAAAGAGCTATAATTACCATAATTGTCCTGGACAGGAGCACTTCTAACACGTAATGCTTTCCAGTATATCTATGTTAGGAAAACTTTACTAATAAAGCAGACTAAAAATCAAACAATACCCAGGAGGATTGTGAAGCAGTTGTGATTAATTTTTGCCAAAAAGACTGATGTTGTTAGAAACGGAAATTACAGCAGATACATTTCCTCCTAGACAAAAAAAAAAGGTGAAATAAAAAAAATCTACTTGAGTTCTTAAATTCAGAAAAAGCAGAACAGAAACTAGGTTCTGTGAAAGAGCTCACATTATTAAAAATCCAAGTGCACTGAGAATCAAAGCAAGAAAACTGCAGCATTTTACATGAAAATTTAGCCACTAGTAAAACAAAATACTTTTTTTAAAAAAACAGTTATTCTACAATGCCAAACACACACAACGTATTTACTAGATAGCATCACGAGAGTATACAAAATAAATATAGAAAAACAGGCAGAAGTCTAGTGTACACAGATACAGTAGAACTCTGAACAATTATAATCTCAAAAAAAAAGAACAAAATAACCACTGGGAGAACAAAACTTGGAGAATCATGGGTTTTACTGGATTTTAACTAAATTCTCAGAATATTCCCATTTTCAAAATTATCTCTGTATTTAGCACAGTAACAATCTCAAACACCATGGAATTTAGGAGGAAAAATAATCTGTTAATTTAATTTCCACTTCCTTTTCAATCCTGAAAGTGCCTAGCTATAATTCATTACTCAGCACATCTACTGAATTGTAAGGAAAATATTTATAAGAAAAATTCAGCCAGCATTATATCTTTGGAATCATAACTCTCACCGTTTATTAGAAGACAAATACTAAAGGTCATCATTCAAATTACTAAACAACTGCAGCAAAGCAGTTATTCAAGCAATCTGAGCAACAAAGTGGAATTTTTAGATGCAGAGAGAATTTGCTGTAGATAGGAGACACGTCCTTCTAGCCAAGTTTATACAATCTACTACAAAGGCAACCATCATTACATTGTCTCACATAGCCTAAGATTTAATAACTATCTCTAGCTGATGCTTCTGTGCCAGCAGCTACAGCTGCACATCCACTTCAGTTGCTGGGTGCTTCAACCCCACCATCCCTTCAGTCCACCTGCACCTCCACACTACCTCCTACCCACCAGCTTCTGTCCAACAAACCCTGCACTCGACAGCCCCTGTATTCAGCTGTCTCCACTAGGCCAGTCCAACAGAGCACTATCCCTCGTTTTCCCAAAACACTGTAGGCCGAAATAGCCATGAGCAGGACAGGACAACAGTACAAAGTGAGGTTTAGCTGCCACAGAGAAGGATGAGCCTGGAGTTTCTCACACAACTTATGCACAGGAGCTCCACTACAAGCTGCTCTGGGAAGGAGATGGGTTTGCCCTCTTCTCCCTTTGGCACTTGCCATTGCTTCTAGCTGCGTGATCTTCCCCTTCTTGCAGCAACCCTAACATTCACCAGCTGTTTTACTGATCTTACTCACTAAAAGGGTAGAAAGTTACTCTTTTGCATTATTTCTTCTTTTATTAAATAAATTCAGAGGGGATTGGATGATCACCAGGAATTGCTTAAAAAAGGTGGTGGAAGGGAATAGTGCTGAAGTAGGGGACCTTGCGGAGACACGTGAACCCTCCCCACCTTCAGTAACCAGGAACTTTGGCTTCCCAGGAGTCATGAAACCACACTATCAGTCACGTTCCTAAAGCCTGACTTGGCTAGGAATTAGAAAGAGTTCTATGCATCATTTATAAATGGTCAACAGATAATTAATTCTTCCAGAAAGGCAGAGTCAGACTTCAAGGGCATAAGTAAAAGGACAACAAACAATTGCATTTTAATCCTGCTGTTTTATTTATCCAAGACTCTTTGATAGGACAGATTCTGAAAAAGAACAGGACACAAAAAGCACTGCAACTTCTGTCCACCAGTCATCCTCTTAAAAGCCTTAGAAATCAATGTGTCATATGCAAGAACAAACACAACTAATAGGAATTAAATTACATTTTTTGACTTACATTAATCAAAGGGAACAACTTTTAGTACAGAAAAGGAAGAAAAGTAGGTTTAAAACATGTCAGAAATTAAAAAAAAATAAGAATGAAGATTTTCATGACTGCATGTTAAAAACTTGACACAAGCATAAAGCTCAGGAAACACAGGTGTATTGGTGATAAATGTGCATTCATTTTAAAAGAGGTTTTAGGGAACATAAGTTTGTCCAGTCTCATCTTCAGACCTCAGAACTGAATGCTTTGTCATGAACTCTGCAGCCACTTAAGTGCTTGTAACTTCATGCAGAAGAACACTCTTTGTTAAGCTGTCAAACTTGTGACAAGATGAAAAATTCAGAGTCCCGTGTCAGTGCTTGTGTAAGCAAAAGGAACTGAGGGGGTTTTGAGCGTGTCAAGTATTGTGTGCCATACATTTCATGTCATTATGATACATAATCTAAGCATGTTAAGTTTCTTAGACTATTTTACCTGCTATCAGTGTCTGATGCAATTTCTTTTCTTCCTCCAAACCGTATTTGACACTGCAATAAACAAATTTTAAGACATTTTTGTCACACTAACAAACTCAATATTCTAAAATAATTGAGTCATAACAAAAAAGAAAGCAGTGCAAAATAAATCACTAGAAAACAGAGCCTGCAGCTAAAAAATGCTTTACAGCATCATGTTCACTAATGGACTGCTCTTGTAGTTCAAATGTATCCTTGCTAGCCAGAACAACACACCTGCAGGTCTTTCAATAACTCTTAAATTGAGTACAAATTACTACTTTTGAGTTTTAAATGAACAGCCACAAGAATAAACATTGTTCCTATTCAGCTCAGTGCTACAATTACAAAAGAATCATTCCTTATAAAACATGTCATTGGCTTACTTCTGAGGCGCTCTTCTGCTTCCTAAAATATGAAATCCAGTCTATGAAAGTCTACTTGCTGAACTTCAGGTTGATGCAAGATATATACATACATGAATAAATCCATCTTTACCTGTATTTTAACCATTCATTAAAATCCTAGTGTAAAGAAAAAAGCTGCTACCATAAAGTATTAACCAGTTTAGTCTTTCAAGTACACTCCAATTTAGTTCAGTCATGTATTACAAATTTATATATTCTATCTTATTATATATAAATGTTACAAACAACAGTAGTGTTAAACAAATACTGCATAATAGCTGTTTGCTAGCAGACACAAAAACTCAGTAATACTGTGTGAAATACAAGATTTCTTCTTTGACTGGTAAAGAGAAGAAAGGGCAGAGACAGTTCCTGCTAGTGCTGACAACTCAGAGTGAGTACACTGTGCAAATACATATGGATTTCTCACCTGTTTCACTGCATCCAGTAGTCTTTCTAGAAGAAACTGTCTTTTGGTGTCATTGTTCTGTGAACCTGAAATTTAACAAAATTACACCATTTTAAAATAAAAAATTTTTTAAGAAAATACATTTGGGCTAACAGCAGGGCCCTGAAAAATTTCCTCCCATGTTAATTATTCCATTAACTTATTAATGTATTTTCTCCAAGTTAAATGATGCAGTCTGTGTTTTGAAGTTTCAGGTACTCATCCTCTAATATGCAGGAACACTGTCCGAATATCACCTACTTTCTAAAATTATTCTAGTAATATTTTGGTTTCATGATATAAGGTATATTGCAGTAATACCCAGTATAGTACAATTGTGCAAAAACCAGCACAGCATGCCCCTAGCCGCTTAGCACAACCACCTGTGGGACCATATTGCAAGCCTGGGACTGGCCTACTTTAACTTTTTTTTTTTTTCCCCCCTTTTTCTTTTTTTGGCAGGTGAACAGAGAGCAATTATTAAAATAAAGCCCTTAAAATTTAACTACCAGCCTAGTTCTTCCTGATTAACATCTACAAAATCTATTTTGTTACTATACAAGCTAACAGAGACTATCTCTAACTTTTCAATCATATCAACAACAAATAGCATAATACTTTGCTCATCACAATATGTTTTATAAACTCCAGTGCATATGTGCAAACTTTACTGTTTAATTAACCTCTATCACCTTCTTATTCTTCATTCTAAGCTGAAGTTCAAAATATGCTTCAAAAACCTCTGTGACTTCTTGGGAATTAAAGTAATTATATTCTTCTTTTCCTCTCAAAGAGCATACAACTAATATATGCACAAACTGAAAGCAAATTATCAAAACTCCAGGTGAGCAAGTTGCTCCAGATAGTGAAAATCAAACACCTCACAGTAAGCCCTCTAGTAAATAGAGATAACACCAAAGATCCTCGTCTCTTCCTCTTGCTGTCCAAGACTGCAAGGTCCCAGTCTCAGAATTGCCCATCTTCATAATCTCATCCAACGGAGTTTGCAACTAAACCAGCAGGAGAGGACAGAATTTGTCCTACTGAAATTATTCTGCCTTTGTTTCACCTTAAATATGGGATTAGGAGAAGAAAAAACCCACAGTAAACTGTAAGACACGATGCCAGAACAAAGAAAACGAGGAAAAACATGCAAATGTAACTGCTAGCCAGGTAAGCTTCACAGGGCTTACTTAGCTGATCACAGTGGATTTTCCTGGAGTTACACTTCTGATTTACAACTCTGACCCAAACTGTGCAGACCTGTGACGTGTGAGGTTTGGTTCTGTCAGTCAAATACTCCAACGCATGCAAACTCAGGTGAAGATGCAAACAATGTTCAATGGACTCTAGAAACGAACCCCATACCAAGCAGGTTTTAACCTACAAACAGCTAAGCCAGTTATGCTGCTGCAAATATAATGTTAAATTCATATAAACCCTACTACTCCCCTTTTTGCCCCGTCAGAGACTACAGCTTTACTGAATTATAATTCGATGTTGTTACCATGCAGGTATTGCCCAAAACAAAGAGACATGCCTATGCACCCAAACAACCTTACAACTCACCTAACTGGAAATTAGGGAAAACAATTAAACCCCAACTTCTAGTACAACCCCTCATGCACAGGAGTACTGAATATACACAAAAGTGCAGATTTTCTTTACTGTTTCAATACTCATTACGCTTCTACAGTCTTATCCTATCCACATACCTGCGAGAGTAGGCAAAATGCAACATTTCTTTATATTAAGTTTGAGACTATTTCAGAGCAAACGCCTGTAATTAATGATTTTGTGACCTGAAAAATGGGTATCAAATTAAAATAAGTGGGTTTAAGATTGTCTTCCAAATTACAAACTGAGCAAACACCTTTCTACTGCTTCACAAAAGTGGTAAAGACTGCAAAAACACACACAAATACAAAACACAGAAAGCATAACAACATTACTCAGAAAAAAATGCTATATTTAGAAAATTGCAATAAAAAAAGGAAGTTCATACATGAGTCTAAAAATAATTCTGAAAACATAAGTATAAGGTTGCAAGAACTAAGAAAAATAGACTCCTCTCATCACCGTCTGCTCAGTCAAAAAGGGTTAAAAATAGGCTCAGGTACTGCACCTGCCCCTGCGACCCTTGCCACTTCTTGTTGTTCCTGGTCGTGCTTTCCTATTTTTAAAACAAACTTCTCTCCATATCCTGACAGAAATAGCCACATCTATAGCAGAAGAAAACTGACTCTGCAAGTAAAGGGAAAATGGATTTTCATCCAAGTCTTCATAGGTACAGGTCTCTTCAGAACCACAGGAAGCATTCAGGTTAAAAAAAATAAATCTCAGATCTCTCTTACACACTTCTTCAAGTCTTGTATGCAAAATTTCAGACACACTTGCTTTTCCTTGCTCTTATACAGGTTCTGAGGGTACAAGTTTAAGATAAAACAAACACAACTCATTTAAATACTGCCTTGTACTACATTATGATTCTACTGCTGCACGCTGAATTAGTCACATTTTTATTTTTTTTTTTTAACTGTTACTAAACAAGTGAAAGCATCTCTAACTCTTAACAAGTACATAAATCTAGTAGCCTTGCGTTACTTCCCTTTAAAGTTTAGCCTGTTTAACTGGCTAATAAATCATGAACATGTAATTAGTAAGCAGCATTCGTAATACTAAAGTAATGCTCAAATCAACAGGAAGTTACCTTCACATCCACTAAAAATACACTGTGGTGAAAAAAAATATACAGTAAAAATAGTTATAGCCATTAGGGAAATAGGTTCTAACTATATATGTATATTATTTAGGAAAAGCTCTTTTACTTCTTTTGGTTACATTTGGGCAAGGAAATAAATGCAGCCAGTGCTGTTATAGCTGCTAAAAAAATGCCACGATTAGGTGTGATGATGTTAACATTAGCTCTCCCCTTTATTAAAAACAAGCACCATGATGATTCACATTTCTCTGTCCTGATCTTGTAAGAATAACTTACATTATTCTGGAAAAATTCTGCACAGTACTGTATAACAGTAAACTTTACCAAAGTGTTCTTTCCATTATCTTGCTGCCTAACCAGAACTTTTGGAAAAGCCATCTAGGCCTTGGCAAGGGCTACACACACGTGGGTTAGCCATGGAGTTTAATGACTAGCCTTAATGTCACCTTAGGCACTACTATATCCTAAGTGAATGTTTTCTCTCCTCATAAACCTGTATCTCATTAAAAAAAAAAAAAAAAAAGTAAAGAAAAATATTGAAGGTATTAAAAATAGCTACATGGTGAGGCTTTACGCCACAAGAGATGCCACCTTGCCTTCTGAGTCACAAAATTCAAACAGAGCTTGCAAAGGTGAGTCTCCTACAAAGATCTGTGCTTCAATTTGCACCAACTTGCACAGGGCTAGTCCCAGCCTGAATTCATCACTGAAAGTCCAAGATTTTCCATGTGAAAATGCTGACTCTTAAAAACTTCAGAATTAGGATTTTGTCTACATCTTGTCAAGATCTGGAACATCTGAGAAACTTTCATTTTCGTGGTTTGAAAGACTTGACTGTTACTTGCATTTTTCACTACACTCATTAACACATTTCCTCATAATTTTTTTTCTCCTAATCTCTTCTTCCATAAAAACCTTCGGTTTTCTTCTTACCACAAAGGTGAGGGGAAAAAAAACAGAGAAAACTGCAACTTAAGTATTTTCTCTTTCATTTTTTATTTTGTTTTCAGAAATGACTGCCATCCATAAAACATGTAGCAGTTAACTACTCCAGTTAACTCTTCAATCTTTTTTCAGACTATCTTTGGCAACAGATTTTATCATGTATTAAATCAGGATAGCAGAAAAACACATAATGTAATTTTCAGGTGCAGCGTTGTCTGCAACTTCCTTTACTGAACTGCATAAGTAGACCCACAGAAACATTTACTAAAGCATTTCCCTTCTTAAAACAAACAGTCCAACCCGTGCCAATGTGTTTTAAGACGTACTAAGTGCCAAGAAAAACCTATTAAGATGTATTCCTGCACCCCACCAAATAATTCTCCACGCAAGCCCATTCAAGTGGCTACGCCTCCTTCAGTCCAAAAGTTTACTGGTCCCAATTCTCATGTAAAGCTTTTATGTATTTCTCCTCACAAACACCCCAAACCTCTCAGGATTGAGCACACACACACACCCCACACACCCAGAACTGAACCTATCCACAACCGACGCGTCCTCGTCAAGGACCGAGTTAGAGAAATGACACCAATGCACCCTAAATACTGTAAGGTACCACCTTTTCCACTAGTCCAGCTTCCCTCTCACCACGCACGTTAGTAAGTTTGGATTATGTTGTTGCGGTTAGTACGACTATCATTGTTATTCTATCTTGGTTGTTTATTTTCTCCAGAGTATTTCCTGTGATTTTGCACAGCTGAGGCAGCGGAGATCCTCAAGACGAGCACGACTCGTTCTGCGCGCCCGTGTCACGCTCAAGGGCGGGCTTCAGGATTTCAGACACGGTAAAGCACCACTTCGGGGGGCTCTAGGAGCCGAAAGGAGAGGCGGCGACGCCGGCAAGGGCTGAGCCCTGCCCCGCGCTGCGGGGCAGAGAGGCCGAAGTCTCCCGTGCCGCGCCACGGCCCCAGCCGCCCCGA